AGACTTAGACTCCCACACAATAATAGTGGCAGACTTTAACACTGCATTGTCAATATTAGAAAGATCAACAAGACAGAAAATTAACAAGGATATTCAGGACGGGAACTCAGATCTAGACCAAGTGGTCCTAATAGACATCTACAGAACTCTCCACCTCAAGTCAACAGAATATACATCCTGAGAGCACCACACAGCACTTATTCTAAGCTCGACCACATAATTGGAAGTACAACACTCCTCAGCAAATGCAAAAAATGGAAATCATAACAAACAGTCTTTCAGACCACAGTGCAATCAACTTAGAACTCAGGATTAAGGAATTCACTCAAAACTGCACAACTACATGGAAACTGAACAACCTGCCCTGAATGACTACTGGCTAAATAACAAAATTAAGGCAGAAATAAATAAGTTCTTTGAAACCAATGAGAACAAAGACACAATGTACTAGAATCTCTGGGACACATCTAAAGCGGTGTTTAGAAGGAAATTTATAGCACTAAATGCCCACAAGAGAAAGCAGGAAAGATCTAAAATTGACACCCTAACATCACAATTAAAAGAACTAGAGAAGCAAGAGCAAACAAATTCAAAAGCCAGCAGAAGACAAGAAATAACTAAGATCAGAGCAAAACTGAAAGAGATAGAGACAGCCTTAAACTCCTGGGCTTAAACAATCCTCCCACCTCAGCCTCCTGGGTAGCTTGGACTACAAGCACATACCACCACACCTAGCTAACTTTCACTTTTTTTTTTTTTTGGAATTTGTAGTGATAGGGTCTTGCTATGTTGCCCAGGATGGTCTTGAACTCCTGGTCCCAAGTGATCCTCCCACCTCATCTTCCCAAAGCATTAGGATCATAGGTATGAGCCATCATACCTGGCCTCTTTTCTTATTATGCTATAACCAGGTAGTGTGATTTATCACCTGGTTTTCTTAGCTCTTGTGAAGATCTTTTTGTGGACAGTTATTCAAATACATGTTTTTATAGAAGGACAATCAGTAGTAAGAACTATTCTACCGTCTTGCTCCATTCTCTCCTTAACATCATGGTGATTCTTTTATTCAATTTTATTTAATTTCTATATTTTTCTCTATTATACAAATTTTCTTCATTGATCATAAAAATATTTTTATTTTTATAATTTCAACTTTTATTTTAGATTCAGGAGGTACATGTGAAGCTTTGTTACATGAGTATATTGTATGATGCTATGTTCGGGATACTAATGATCTAGTCACACAGATCACACAGACAGTGAGTATAGTAAACAATGATTAGTTTCTCCTTGCCTCCTTCCCTGTCTATTAGTCCCCTGGGGGACTATTGTTGCCATCTTTATGTCCATGAATACTCAATATTTAGCTGCCACTTATAAGTGAGAACATGTGGTATTTGGTTTTCTGTTCCTGCATTACTACACTTAGGATAACGGCTTCTAGTTGTGTCCATGTTGTTGCAAAGGATATGATTTTGTTCCTTTTTATGGCTGAGTATATTTTATGGCTGGGTGTTCCTTTTTATTCCAGGGTATATATGTACTACATTTTATTTATCCAATCCACCACTGATGGGCATCTAGGTTGATTCCATGTCTTTGTTATTGTGAATACTGCTGTGATGAACATATGAGGTCATGTGATTGTTTGGAAATTTATCCATTTACTCTAGGGTTTCTAGTTTGTGTGCATTTTCCTTTGGTCATATACCCAATAATGGGATTGCTGGGTCAAATGGTAGTTCTATTTTAAGTTCCTTGAGAAATCTCCAACCTCCTTTCCACAGTGGCAGTGTTCCCTTTTCTCCACAGACTTGCTGGTATCTGCTGTATTTTAACTTCTTAATAATAACAATTCTCTCTGGTATAATATGGTATCTCATTGTGGATTTGATTTGCATTTCTCTGATGATTAGCAATGTTGAGCATTTTTCATGTTTGTTGGCTGCTTGTATGTCTTCCTTTGAGAAGTGTCTGTTCACGTTTTTTACCACTTTTTAATGGGATTATTGGTTTTTTGCTTGTTGAAATAAGTTCCTTATAGATTCTTGATGTTAGACCTTTGTCAGATGAATAGGTTATGAATATATTCTCCCGCTCTCTAGGTTGTCTATTTACTCTGTCAATAGTTTCTTTTGCTGTGCAGAAGTTCTTTGGTTTACTCAGGTCTCACTTGTCCATTTTTTGTTTTGTTGCAATTGCTTTTGAGGACTTAGTCATAAATTCTTTCCTAAGGCAGATGTCCAGAATGGTGTTTCCTAGGTTTTCTCATAGGATTCTTACAGTTTGAAGTCTTACATTTAAATCTTTGATTCATCTTGAGTTAAATTTTGTATATGGTGAAAGGTGGGGGTCCATTTTCATTATTCTGCATATTGCTAGCCAACTATCCCAGCACCATTTATTAAATAAGGAGTCCTTTCCCAATTGCTTATTTTTGTCTGTTTGTCAAAGAACAGATGGCTATTGCTGTGTGGCTTTATTTCTGCATTCCCTATTCTGTTCCATTGGTCTATATGTCTTTTTTGTACAAGTATCATGCTGTTTTGGTTACTGTAGCCTTATAGTATAGTTTGAAGTCAAGTAATGTGATGCCTCTGGCTTTGTTCTTTTTGCTTATGGTTGTTTTGGTCATTCAGACTTTTTTATATAAATTTTAAAATATTTTTTCTAATTCCACGAAAAATGACGTTAATAGTTTGGTAGAAATAGTGTCAAATCTGTAGATTGCTTTGGGGAGTATGGCCATTTTAACTATATTTATTATTTCAATCCATAAGCATGTTATATTTTTCTGTGTCATCTATGATTTCTTTCAGCAGTGTTTTGTAATTCTCCTTACAGAGATCTTTCACCTCCTTGATTAGATAAGCTAGATATATTCCTTGGTATTTATTTTTTGTGTGGCCATCTATTTGCATACTTTTTATTTCCTTTTCTTGCCTCATTACTCTGGCAAGAACTTCAGTACTATGTTGAACAGGAGTGGTGAAACTGAGCATCCTTGTCTCGTTCCAGTTGTCAAAGGGAATGGTTCCATCTTTTGCCCATTCAGTATAATGCTGGCTGTGGGTTTGTCATTGATAGCTCCTATTATTTTGAGGTAAGCTCCTTCAATGTCTATTTTGTTGAGGGTTTTTGTCATGAAGGGATGTTGGATTTAATCACAGGCTCTTCCCACACCTAATTATATACTCATATGGTTTTATTTTTAATTCTCTTTATGTGGTAAATCACATTTATTGATTTGTGTATGTTGAACCAAGCTTGTATCCCAGGAATTAAGGCAAGTTAATCATGGTAAACTAAATTATTGATGTGCTGTTAAATTCAGTTTGCTTACATTTTGCTGAGGATATTTGCATCTATATTCATCGGGGATATTGTTCTGTAGTTTTCTTTGTTGTTGTGTCTTTGCCAGGTTCTGGTATTAGGGTGATGCTGGCTTCATAAAGTGAGTTAGGGAGTAGTCCCTCATCTGTGAATTTTTAGAAAAGTTTCAGTAAAATTGCTGAGCTCTTTTTTGTAAGTCTGATAGAATTCAGTTGTGAATCCATTTGGTCTGGGTCTTTTCTTGGTTGGTAGGTTTTTCATTACTGGTTCAATTCTGGAACTTGGTACTGGTCTGCTAGGGTTTCAATTTCTTCCTGGTTGGATCTTGGGAGATTGCATGTTTCCAGGAATTTATCCATTTCCTCTAGATGTTCTAGTTTGTGTGCATAGAGGTATTCATAATAGTCTCAGAGGAGCTTTTGTATTTCTGTGGGATCAGTGGTAATGTTGCCTTTGTCATTTCTGATTGTGCTTATTTGGATCTTCTCTCTTTTTTTTTTTTTTTTTTTTTTCTTTTTTAGTCTAGCTAGTTGTCTGTCGATCTTGTTTATCCATTCAAAAAACCAATTTTTGGTTTCATTTATTCTTCGTGTGGATTTTTGGGCCTCAATTTTGTTAGTTCTGCACTGATTTTAGTTATTTCTTTTCTTCTGCTAGTTTTGGGGTTTTGTTCTTGTTCTTCTAGTTCCACAAGGTGTTATGTTAGAGTGTTAATTTGACATCTTTCTAACTTTTTAAGGTAGGTATTTAGTGCTATAAACTTCCCTCTTATCACTGTTTTTGCTGCATTCCAGAGATTTTGGTATGTTGTATCTCTGCTTTCATTTATTTCAAAAGATTTTTTTATTTCTGCCTTAATTTCGTCATTTACCCAAAAGTCAATCAGGAGAAAGTTTTTAAATTTCCATGTAATTCCATGATTTGGGGAGATCTTGGTATTGCTTTCTATTTTTATTCCACTGTGTCTGCGAGTATGGTTGGTATGATTTCAACTTTTAAAACTGTATTGAGACTTGCTTTATGTCTGAGCATGTGGTCAATCTTGGAGTATGTTCTGTGTACAGATGAGAAGAATGTGTATTCTGTGGTGATCAGCGGAGTATTCTCTAGATGTCTATTAGGTCCAATTAGTCAAGTGTCAAATTGAAGTCCAAAATTTCTTGTTAGTTTTCTACCTCAATGGTCAGTTTAACACTGTCAATGGGATGTTGAAGTTCCCTACTACTATTGTTTGTCTCACTAAGTCTTTTCATAGGTCTAGAAATCATTGTTTTAAGAATCTGGGTGCTCCAATGTTGACTGCATATATATTTGGGATAATTAACTCTTCTTGTTGAATTGAACCCCTTATCATTATGTACAATATGTGAACACCAAAAAAAATCACAGAAGGAATACTGCTTGGTCTTTGAATTTTTGGGGGGTGATATTCAGAATTAAATAGCTATTTTTAAGGGAAAGAATAAAGTAATATGTTAAACTGACAGATATTTTAAAATTAAATAATATAAAAGATATGTGGAAAATATATAGATATACATACATGCACATACACTTATATAAGGGAGAAATGATTTTAAAATAATATCAAATCCCATAAAACTATTCAAAGATGACAAGGAAAATTAGCACCCCCTGAAAACAATAAGTTAATGTTGTTCAAATACTACTGTGACTCCCTTTATTTTCAAAAGGTATCATGGAACTACTTTTCAATGTGAGTACTTGCCTACTTGTATGTCTAAGGACCTCCCAATACTTGGGAGGTGTTTTTTTTGTTTTGAGACAGAGTCTCGCTCCGTCACCCAGGCTGGAGTACACTGGCACTATCTTGGCTCTCTGCAACCTCCTGGGTTCAAGCAATTCTCCTCCCTCAGCCTCCCGAATAGCTAGGACTACAGGCAAATGCCAACGCCTGGCTCATTTTTGTATTTTTATTAGAGACGGGGTTTCACCATATTGGCCAGGCTGGTCTTGAACTCCTGACCTCGTGATCCACCTGCCTTGGCCTCCCAAAGTGCTGGGATTACAGGCGTGAGCCACAGCGCCTGGCCCCATACTTGTGAGTTTTAAAGCAATTTCTGGAACATTTTCAGAAGACTCTTGAGTTGTACTTGCTTATAAAAGAAAACTGGTGTGAAGTAGTCATGCAACTCTTGGCTACTGAATATACCCTTCACATATTTCAGCAAGAGAATGTTTTTAGTAAAAGGTAAAAAAGTCATTTTTTTAAAAATTCTATGTTTATATAGTTTGATTTCCACAATACCCAGTGCCTGACTCTTTGGGTGGCTTTACTAATATTTTGTATTGCCTTTATCACAGGTTTGCTATCACCTCTATGTTTGAGAGGAAGAATAATTTTTAAATTTATGTATTTATTAACTAAATATACAAAATATACCTGATGTTAATTTTAAATGATCTTTAAAATCAAATGTACTACTAATTATTACATAAAACATAAGTTTATAGGACACCAACAAAAAATTACTAGGTTTGAGGTTTTAAGGTTCATCTGAATGAGGGAGGAGTTTCCATCTCATTGTTGTATCAACTTCTTCATCAAAATTTCCCACTTCCTGCTCTTTAGAAAGCTCTAAGAATACCTAATTAGGAGACAAAGAAGAAGGAAAGAAGGAAGAGAGATTATCAAGTTGTTGGTCTTCCAAACGAATAGGAAAATGCATGTTGCTTTCATGTGAAATTTACCAGGATGATACAAAGTCAAACCAGTTGACTTACCTTCTCCAATGTGCACTGAGAGAGGCTGTATTCTTCCAGGTTAAAGTTATGCTTCACTGATGGAAAAAAAAAAAAAGACTAGTATTAATAGTAGATGCTTACGATTTATTACCAAGAATTTTTTCAAAATCACAAATAATAAAAATGTAAATCATTAATATAAATAGATAAAGTTGAATAAGCAAACACTTGATATAAGGATGAAATAATGAAAGTCACACAGATTTAATGTAAATACATACTATATTAATATTGATGTTATCATTTTCTCATATTATGTTTCAGTAACATTTGTTTTGGTATTGCATGCATACGTATTTGGAAGATACATATGTTCTTTGAAGAACTAATCATTGGTCAAAATATTGTTACACATGAGGAAGATCCTATCCCATCCTCTTTAAGAGAACTCGAAACTCCCTTCATCCAGTTCATCTGTTGTATCACCTCTCTGCTGGACTTCCCCACCAAAAAGTCTGTGTGACAGTTGTCACCAGATTCACATATCCATGTGTGCATACTTCACCATTTATACACTAAGAATCTGCTAGGTGTGAGGCACTCGTAGATGCCAGAAATAGAACAGTCAAGAAAATAGACAAATACTCCTGCCTTGATGTCGTTTGCATTTTAGTGGGAGGAATTAGTGACATTAAATACACAAACACTTAAATATATGATAAAGTTAATGATAGTAGCTTTAAAGAAAAATAAAGCTGATTAAAATAAATAGGGAGCACTAGGCACTCTTTTTTGCCAGATAGTCAGAGAAGGCCACAGTAATCAGGTAATAATTGAACCAACGCCTGAAAATGGGAGGAAGAAGCCTGGATGTTTAGGAAGGAGAATTCCAGGAGGAAGGATAAGCAAGTACAAAGTCCTGAGGCAGGAGCTTACATGTCTGGCAGCATTTAGGAAGAACTAGAAAGTCATCTGTCTAGTGTGGAAGGAACAAAGCAGAGATATACATTATGACATACATTATGTCAAACATAATGAGCCAGGCATTGTTCTAGGTGCTTAAAATATTTACTCATTTAATCCTAACAACCTGGCCAAGTGGGCACTAACAGTATCCATCATTGTAGAGATGAACCATCTAGATATGCAGGGATTGAGTACCTCACCCAACGTCACCCAGCTAGTAAGCAGCAGCCTGGGCTGAGAACCCAGAAAGATGGGCTCTAGAGTTTGAGTTCTTCACCATTATGCTGTGCTGAGAAACTACACCACGATGGTCTGCTGTTGGGAATGATGGGGTCAAAAGCAGAGAAAATGATGACAGGAGAGAGAGTGTGGACAATTTCAATTAGCAAGAGGAGTTACACACCATCCAGGGGACGGTCGAAGTTATCATTCAAATAGGAAGGCCAAATACACGTGCACAGACACAAGGAGGTTGATGGATGGATGGAAACATTCTCTGTTGCTTCTATTTTATTAGTGAAATACAAAGCAAGGGCATCTACTGAGGGAGAAAAGTGGGAAGGAGGTGGATATGTAAGGAAAGAAAGGGAGTAAAGTAATAATTTGGGACACTTGGTGTGAATGAATTATATATATGTAGGCAAAGCAGGCCACACACAGGGGCTTTTAGGGTGGGATGCCATGGCTTCACAGTAAGAACAGTCAAGCATGTGTGTTTCCTGCAGCTTCAGTCCCTGCACTGGAGATTAACCTCTTTTCATAGAGTCAGATTAACCTAAATTGGGGTTAAATCACACCATTACCTACCATTAGGATTCTTAAAAATCATGCCCTACGGGCCTGTTTTAAAAAATTGTTACCCAATTAGCTTCCATTAAATTATTATTTTAGTGTGAGTTAATTCTTCAAAAGATTTATTTGAATATGGTCACTCTTACCTGCCTCTAATTTGTGAAAGGCCTGCGATAGAGGGTAAACGTCTGCCACTGGCAGCTTATAGGTTAACAAGGAGGAATACCTGAAAATAGGAAGATGTCGTATTCAATTCTGAGTTTCAAGGGGAGAAAATGAGCATCAGAATAAATATGGATATTACCAACAATTTTCTTCTTAAAATAAAAGTAATGCAAATTAATGTATGGCTTAAATATGAAATCACAGCATTGTTTTGAAATGATTTTTGGTATCTGGCTGTTGCAGACAGCTCTCCTGGTAATAATTCAGCATAATTATATATGTGCTCAGCTTATGCAAAACCTTTGCTTGTTGAAAATCCGGTATTCTAAAAAAAAAAAAAAAAAAAAAAAAAAAAGAAAATCTGGTATTCTGAACTATTCCCTCTGATTATTTCAAATTAGGTTGGCAATTAACCCAAAATAAGTGTTCATCTTTGTCATCAGAAAGCTAATTCATTGTTTTGTTTTTTTTAATGAATGAATTTTTTTCTTTATTTCTTACATTTCCAGCAATTTGCATTACATTTACAATGGAAAATATAAACATTTAAACAAAAGTAAATTCAGGACTATTTTGTAAAACCATAAATAGTGGCAAATCTTGGAGATGGAGGTTGATATTGGCAAAAGATCTGTAGGGAAGACATATTTACTTTGAAGGCTTTCTAGGCCCTAGGGCCATCCAGAAGTAAGGAAATCGATAGAGCTGGGACTGCCAATCAAAAAACCTCAGAATCTCCTTGATTCCCCCTCCTCCCAGAAGTCTAACTTGTAAAGAACAACATGAGGTTGGGAGAGTTGGAGTTAGCAGTACAGGAAGGACATAAAAGACTTTAACTAAATACTTCCCTGACCTCTAAGGAAGAGCCGTAATTGATTTGGGGCATCTTGCTTCTGTGTGCTACTTCTGGCTGTAAACCCTCATGCCCTATTCCCAAACAGGGGTTTGGTGCTCCCAGGTGGCACTAAGGTTGACCAGACGTCCAGGATTGGCCCTTTTCAGACCAGCCCCTGCTCTTTCTGTCTTATCATTTTCGATCTTCCCACCTATATCAAAACCACTTCTCTGATTTGTGACACCAAACATCTGGGAATGGGACGAAGTTACATGTTCTGATATCTATCTTAGAAAATTTAATTACATTTACACTGGGCTAAAATAAAATAGTAGCTTTTATGTCCTATTTTTTGATGTGCTTATCTCTCCACAGCAATTTCAAATTCAGTTTCTGCTCCACCTTCTTGCCCTCCCCCAAACAACATACAGACGTACACAAACACACACACACAGATATGTGGGCATGCACACACACATACACACACCCCTTTCCAGTCTCCATTTTAAGGTATGAAAATTCCATTAAAGAGAGACTCTGATGATCTCAATTGCCATTTGTTTCCTATGGGGAAAATTCACCCTAAATATTTACATCTTTTACATTTTAAATATTTATATATGTTAAGCATTTATAAGGAGGTCCAGGAAGGACACCATTGTGGTCCTGTGTGGGTTTCAGTCATGAGAAGTTCCTTTCCCCAAGTCTTTCCAAGTCCCCCTCTGGAGCTGGGGATCAGCCTGGGATGGCCAAGGAGGGTGTGCCTGGGCTGACCCAGGGGGACACAGCTTCCTGAGTAGGTCTCAATCTCTTATAATCTGGAATACGGAACAAATCAGTTTCTGCGGTCCCTAACTTTTATTATGAAGTAAAATCACTATGAATTTCTCACACAGCTAAAAGGAAACCACTGAGTGGATAAAGCCTCTGTATTTCTTCATAATCAAAAGCCCCTCTCACCTTTCCTGCCCTGCTGCCTGTGGGAAAAGCTTCAGAATCTCAGTGTGGACCAAAGTCACTTGAGAAGGTTCCTTCACTTTCAGCTCTAGAATGTAATCCTTGCCAAGTTTGTTTTTCAGGTGTTGGATGGAGCCAATGCATCTATGGGCAAGAAAGAGAATATGTTGGAAAAAAAAATTGCCCTTAATTTTTTAATGTTATTCTTAAATTTCAAATGTAGAAGAAAAGGTGTCACCAAGGAAGCCAAACGGAAGGGCTCCAGCCACACAGGGATTTTGCCCTTTCCATGGGAAATCTCATTTTGGGCATCAAATGCAGGCTCTGGAAAGATACCCACCTAAGCCTTCCAGACACCATGATGGCCACACGGTCACACAAGGCCTCTGCCTCAGCCAGATTATGGGTGGTCAGGAGGACACCCCTCTCTGTGTTTTTAACGACTGCCTGGATTGCCTGCCTGAAGTGAGCAAAAAAAATAACAGTATTTAAAATAACTAAGTGCAGAACAAAAACAAGATAAAATACAATATATGAATCACATTCAGATCCTAAATTCAAAAAAAAATAGTGCAATGTAAGCACTGACTAGGTTTTTGATAACATAAAGAAAAATTATTAAATATTTTTAGATGTGCTAATCATATTGTAGTTGAGTTAAAAACTCTTTTTTTAAGAGTTAACAAAACTCCTTATCTTCTGAAGATAGTAACTGTAATATTTATAAATTAAAGAATATGCTGCTTTGTATTTCCTTCAAAATAATTGGAAGGTGGAGAAAGGAAGTAGGTGAAGATACAGATGAAAGGAGATTGGTTCTATTGATATCTGCTGAAACTTCTCCTTGGGAATAATGGATTCATAAGCGATTCTCTACGTTTGTATAAAATTGCCATAACAAAGTTTTTGTTAAAGTTGGAAAAGTATTGGACAGTGACAAATATGAAACTAGATTGAAGATTTTGTTATTCCAAAGGGTAAATCCTAGATGGGAAAGTAAGGAAAAGAATAAACCCAAGAAAAACTGGAGGAACAAATTTGACAGGTCACATTAAAAAGGAAAAAAAAAAAATCGGAAAATTCTATCAGGAAGTTAATAGTCTCCAAGGAAACAAAGTAGAAGGAAAAAAAGAGGAAACAGTTATAGACATCTCAATAATTAAAAGGCAAAATATTTTTCTATTTTAACAGTCCACATTAAAAACCTAAAACCCCAAGAAAATGTGAGGTTTTTTAAACCTGAGTACCCCGTGAACATCATGCAGATTAGATCACCTATTGGTTAAATATTTGTTTTCCTGATAATATAAATTATGTCCACTGAATCAGGAACCAGTGGGTTTGAGGACTGATTTTCCAAGATCAGTTAAAATATGCAACATTCCCTAATGTGCATCTCGCAGCTCTGGGGTATAATGATGCTCACCACATTTGCTGCTGCCCTGTGGGGTCTATGCCCGTAGATGGTTCATCCAGGAGCAAGACAGGTGAGTTTCCCAGGAGGCTCAGCACAAAGCACAACTGCAATGCAGAAAAACACCCCTGTTTGCTGCCACATCACACCAGCTCTCCATAGAGCATCACACACCACACATACCTTTCTCATGGTTCCTGTTGTTAATTTCTGCACAGGAACATTCAGCTGCTCATGCAGTTTGAAAGCACTCACTAATCTGATAGAAAACAGAATGAGGACATCTGGTCAAGAGAAGGTTTTTGGAAAATCCAAGCACACAGAACAGTAACGGCATTGGAGGGAAGTTTAGCAATATTATTTTCAAAATCCTAACAATTTTAAAAAAGAGATTGATTTTGGAACATGAAAGTTTTTTTTTTTCTTCATAAACAGTTTTAGGAAAAACTAGAATTCTGAATGAGAAACTGAAAATGGATGATTATTTCATGTCCAGGTTTTTTAAATTAGAAAACTGAAATGGATGATGACTTATGGTGATTCATTCACTTATTCCTTGTCAATTATTTTATACAATCATTTTTTAAAGATCTCTCATTCCTGCATTCAGGGATGCAGGAAGTCAGGTCTTGTCCCTCATCCCTGCTATGCCACTGACACTCTGGAAGGGTGGAGATTCATATTCACTCTCCGTTCTTTATTAGTGAATTCATCATCATTGCAACAGTCTTCCTGCATTCTGACACAAAGGAATCGCAGGTCCTGTCTGTACCTTGTGATGGCGAGTCTCGCATCCACTTTCCTGAGCCCCTTGACAGCAGCATACACCTCCAGGTGCTCCCTCGCCGTCAGCATGGGCCACAGCACGTTCTCCTGAGGGCAGTACCCCAGGTGGCCCAAAACTGAACTGCAGCCTTTCAGTTCCACCTAAAAAAATAAAAGAGCTTTAGAAAGGCATGCAGCCTTTTTTCCAATAGTGCAATTACTCCAGAAACTGACATATATAAACGCCTACATTGTTTAACCATCAAATAAATACTATAGAAATTACTTCATATATTTATTACAGAAAATGTTTTAAAGTACTAATATAAAAGTATAGTTTTACATGCAAAGGAGAAAAGAGACCTAATAAGCTCAGGTAGTTCCTGAGAAACCGATGAGGAGAAGGTAATTGGTTTCTGGTAATATTCCAAGTCCTGTTATAAACACTTGGTGCCCAGTAAAAATTTCAAGAGGGGTATAGTCTTACAAAGATGGACTCTGTATGTATCATGGAATTTCTGTTTGGGAAATGGAAACCATTTCCTCACTACCTCTCCAGCAGTTGGCTTTGTGATCCCAGATATCATTCTAATAGATGAACTTTTTCCAGCACCATTGGGTCCCAGCAATCCCAAAATTTCACCTGAAAGAAAGAATCAGACTGTCAATATTGGAAGTGAAATACTGAACAACATAAACCTTTTGCTCCAGTGAAATCTTCTAAGATCTCTGCACCCTTCAGTTAGTACCATTTTGAGATTGGTAACATATATGTAATCCATGTTACCAAAGCATGTTCTTTATTTTCTGTAATTATGCCAAATGTTACGGCAAACCTTGTGAATTTGATGTTAATACATCTGTCCTTTCCCCTCGCCCCCAGATTACTTGTTTCAGTTGGAAATGTGCCCAATTGTTTTCCATAATAGATGGCTGATGCACTGAGTGCGTGTATGAATGATTGTCAAACTTGAGAAGTTAGGGATATTTTCTTCATCCCAAATTCAACCACCTGTGTCCAAGTTACCATCATCTTTCATCCCAACTGATATAAAAGCCTCTGAACTTGTCCCCCCACAACCAAACTGACAAACAAACAATAGCCAATCTGTAATCTTTTCAAAATATAAATTAAATGTGACACAAGTCCACTAAAAATTCTCCAATGGTATTCCGCTAACTTGTACAAAACACAAACTCATTGCTGTTTTCAAAAGCTGTACCTAATCGGGCACTGCTCAGCTCTATAGCTTTATCCCTTCCATTTATGGATGCATCCAGTGGCCTCTTGGCTGAAGACCTTTCCAAGTGTGCCTGAGTCCCTGCCCTCACTGTTTCCTCTACCTGGATTCTCTTTGTCTAGTTCCTTCATAATTGTATTTCCAGAGTTTAAAACACTCCCTGGCACACTAAAAATAAATATATATTGAATAAATGAATGAGTGCTTCAGCAAGTAAAACTGTGCCTATGACATAGATGTTCAATAGGTAGTTCTAAAAATAATGGTGAATTGTAAAAGGGATTATTACAGACCTTCTTGAACACAGAAAGAGATATTTCTTGCTGCTATTTTCTTCTTCCTCTTTGAAAAGCAACTTTTCTTCTGGCCTGCATATTCTTTGTGTAGACAGCTGGCAATTATAACAGGTTTCTAGAAGAGATGACAGCATGATTTTCCTCTTAAATTTCAGAGACTTTAGTTCTCTGCTGGAACCATTCATGCCTTATGTCATAAACCAAACCATATTTTGAGTTGAAAGTAATTCATGCTGCTAAATGTAATACCCTTTCATTAATGTAGAAAATATTTCTTGCTTCTAAATAGACTGAATTTCATGGAAGCAGCTCATTGTCTTGCCAGAAGAGGGATGGCTAACCTCATGGAACCATGTCAAATAGTCAGATAGAGTAACCCTTAAAATCTTAATCTCTATTTAGCATTCTTCGACAAATCTAACTTAAATTCTTTAACTCATGAGGTCTTGTTTGATCTTGCAATTACAGCCCTAATTATGAAAGCCCACTTTTCTCAAAAGAAAAATAAAACCATTAGGTTTTGTGTTCTTTTTAGCTTCTAGGACACTCCAAATAAGTGAAGTGCCTTGATTATGCAGGCACTTCTTTGGAGTGTCCTGGACGCATAATACAGAAATGCACCAAACTCCAAACTTTCAAAATGAAACCCAGCGTATCAAATCCTGTTCTTGACAGTTCTTGAATATCTCCACTAACATCCATTTTGCCCCTTGCTTTTTTACCTCGTCTAAGATTGAAGTGGTCAGAGCAGTTGCTGTTCTTATTCTTTCTGCTTGAACATCTTCATCTTCATCTATGGGTTCTTCTGGATTTGGTTTAGCATCTCTACTTTGGGGGGAAATTCTACAGAGAAAATGAAATGTTTTACATGTGGTATTCTAACTGTTAAAAGATGTGCCAAAAATCAGCATTCCTGTGATTTTACTACTGTCCTTTTCTCTAACATGCAGGTGATGATGTGATGATGACTGTCAACATCGCTTCTGCTTTTGCCAAGAACTCCTGTCCCACTAGCCAGAATCCCTTTCTTGGTGATGTTGCCATTCTTCCAGTAAGAATCTTTGACCCTTTCAAATCTATCAGCAGGTATTGCTCCTTTCTATTTAAAATCCATGTCACTTTCATTTTCTCTACTCAGTCTGAGCCCATCTTCATCACACCAGATTTTTTTTCAACATCATTTACTGCTCACCCTTTCTACGCCCTCCATTTTTAAAACACTCAACTATGTTGCTAAATCAATTCCTTCCCATCTTTTCTCTTCAAGGATGCACAATTATCTCGGAGGAGAGAATGGCATGTTTGGGTGCTTACTAAATTTTGGATGGAGTGAAGGTTTCTTACAGCTGCTTACAGCCAGAACTCTGCCTGGGAGTTCTATCTCTTGGCAGTAAGGCAGCAATCCACCTTCCCTCATGACAATCAACATGTGCTTCCCTTGTAGATGTAAATCTGTATTAACAAGATGATAGCACAGACACCATCTAAGAATGTTAAAATATGATATTAAGTATAAAGTTAAATTTCATCCCAACCTGAAAACAGGATCTTTTCGCATTCTTTTCTTTCCATATTTTAGTTCCATACATCTTAGAACAAAAATGAATAGCAAAGTCTGAAAGTAAGGCTACGAGCAAAGAAATACAGTTATATTTAGGCATAGGTTCACAAATATTATTTAAACATTTGAATTAAGTTGGTGGTATTTTGTCTTTGGGTAAATAGTTATGAATCATTCTCATAAGTTGGCGGAGAAATGTAGCTATACATTCACAATCCAGGTTAGTGAAACCTGTCTCCTTTCTTCTTGCCACCCACATTCAGTTTGTAAGTAAATTCTATCTGCTCTATCTTCAAAATTATCTATAACCCAATTATTTCTCACCCCTACTCATGGTACTCCTACTCAGGCCTAGGTCATTATAATGTCTCACCTGGATGGTTGCAACCCCTTCCTACCTGGGCTATCTCTGCCCCTCTTGCTCTAAACATCTGTTCTGAACACAGTATCCAGAGCTACTTTTTTAATACATAAGTCTGAATTTACCACTGTGCTTAAAACCCTCCAATGACTCCTCCTCCATCACTCAGAGTAGAGTCAAAGCCTTTAGAGTAATCTAGATTACCCTGTGCAACCCTTTCTCCTGGCCTCTCACTTTATCCCATGAATTCTGTGGCCATCTTTCTTATCACTCTTTTCCTTGGTCATTCAGTCAAAACCACACTGGCCTGGCTGACCCTGGATTGAGCCAGGGTCACTCTTACTACTTCCTACTGAAGTGCTCTTCTCGAAGCCTTTCCTGACCACCCATCTGATACCACACATATAATCCATTTAGTTTATTATCCGTCTCCTTCCACCAGAATATAAGCTCCATGAGGGCAGGGACTTCTGTCTTTATTTTCTCCTGTGCCTAGAAAAGTACTGACACATGGAATTCAAAGATAGTAGTTTCCTGCAGCCTAAATACACCAAAATAATCATTTTCCCTTTCACTTGTATTATTCAATTTTTGCCTTTTTATCTATTATTCAAAGAAAGTAAGTTATATTGCATCTCTATCTTTTATAAGCTCTCTCAAATTTAGAGGAGGGACAGTAAACAGGATAAGTAAACAAAAAATTAATTTAATATTAAATTTTGGACATATATAGCCAATCCAAGCATGTAAAAAGTAACTCTAAGGGTTAGAAACATGTCTGAAGGTAATTGCTTTATCAAGATCATATAAAAACATTTTTAAAGTGGCATATTTTGGACAAGATCAAATTGTTATAATGAATGACAGTCATCCAAAAGAATGTGTGCTGAGGTGGAAAGGTCTTACTATGAAGCAGACTAGAAAATCAGTGGCACTCAATTTGAAATTTGCCTCTGGAGATTCTCTGTAGTGCTGCTGGTCTCTCTGAAAAGACAAAACAAAACACACACACACACACACACACACACACACACACACACTAATGATAATTCATCTGCTTTATGATTTGCATTTAAATAATATAAAATTCACATATTGACTATTTTCCTTATCAAGCTCAATTTCTCTGTGTGCACTAGTGACAAAGTAATTCCCCACAGAGAAGGAGAACCTCCTACTCGACTCTTGCTGTCTCTCAATAAGCAAGTAGCCTATGTCTGTTGCTGTCTTCCAATTATTTTTTTAATTTGGTTTTAACATTTGCAGAAAGTCTACTGAAAGTATAGCAGAGAGAGGTGTTGGCACTGGTAAAATTTCTGGAGGTTGACAATATTTTTCTTAAGCGCCCAGACAAGCCTTTTCAGAGCCCCTTCTTATCCCAATGGTGACTATTTGCCCATAATGATAATTAGTTCCAGTATGTTATTCTTTCTTCATCAATCAATTCATTCAGAAAGTTACTCATTCCTCCTAAATAATACATGACAGACCTAGATGAATGTATTTCACCTTGCAGGTCTACTTAGGAGGAAAATGCTTTAAGCAAAGGGATTCGTTTCTAATCAAGAACTTCAGGCATTGCTCAGCCAATGGAGATGTATTTTTGCAAATGGAAGGCTTTTCCAGTTTGCCAAGGACATCCCCGATTACGGAAGCCCTCTTTACTTTCCTTAAAGCCATTTCATCCAGGGTGGTACAGAGCTCCAAAAAGTGTGTTCTCCACTGAACTATCTTGTCCTGGCCTCATCGTATACTTTTCTCCACTTGAACCACATTCAGTTTCTTTAATGCCTCCTGGCTTTTCCTGATTTGGTGCCTTTGCTTTCTTCTGCAGAACATGCTTACCTCCTGTCCCATTAACTAATTCTTATTCATCCTTTAGCCATGTATTTAAATATAATGTCCCCAGAAGAATTGTCTGACTTGCTAGAACACACCAGCTGTGCTTTGTGTGTCCTCCCTTGGCCCTTTGCCCTTGTGCTTTGTAACCTTTAGGTTCCTTGTATTGACTTGAGTAAGTTCGGTCTGTCTTTGCCTCCACTAAGCTTTGGGAAAGTCAGGACTGTGCTATCTTGCTCATCAGGTGTCCCCAATTACTAGCACAGTGACTAACAGAGAATAGTATTTGATACATATTTTTGAATGATTGAATGGAATCGCATATGAGTTTATCCTCAGTGGCTAACAAATACCTGTCAAACCAAGCACATTTTTCCCCCAATCTGGCATTACCCATATTTGAATGGCATTTGACAATGCCTATATTTGGCAAAGTGAATAGGGCAAAAGTTTAAATGTTTTATTGAGATTTAATTTTGCATGTGATAAAATTCACTCATTCTGAGAGTAGAACTCAAGGATGTTTAGTAAGCTTACAGAGTTGTGCAAGCATCACCACAATTCCCCTTTTGAACATTTTCATCATCTCCCCAAAATCTCTTATGCCCATTTGCTGTTACTTCCCAGTTCCACTACTGTCTGTCTCTGTTGATCTGGGAAAAGCACTTTAATAAGCTACATATTCAAAATTAATGACACAGTTGGTAACATTTCTTACCATTTCCAAAAAAGTTTTAAATCCAAGCAAGGTATATGAAGGAACCAATACCATGGTGGTAATCAATATACTTAGGTCAAAATTACTGATTAAAGCGGTAACAAACATGATGATGGAGGCCTACAAGGGAAGTTCAAATATATTGTATCAGACATATTCAACCCATTGATATTTTGTAAAACATTTAAGATACAGGTGTTCTCATGATGTATATCATAACGTTCCTATACGCAGATATACTCATTTGGCAATGATAGTTTCTACTTTTAGAGAGAGTAGGGAAGAAGCCTTTGTTAACAAGAATACATATGATCCCCAGTAGAAAATTCTTAATAAAGACTGGCGACTAAGGTGACGGCTAAAATGACCAAATAGACTTCTTGCCAGTGTATTATTAAATTTAATAATAGTTTTTTTTATAGCTAAGGTAACAATATTGCTAATGAATAAAAACCTGTATATGTTGAAAGTTACATGGCTATCATAAAAAAATGAACAATCCATACTGTCTCTCAACCAGACTACTGTGGAGCTTTCTCATTGTCCTTCCTGCTCCATTTCTTCCCCATACCAAACAAAGGACTTTTCTGAGAGTGTGTATTTTTATTGTGATGGATTTATTTTATTTTATAAATTTTTATTGGCAAATGGGAAGGAATAAGGATAATTGTTTATTTTTTTTGTTTTAAGAATCAATTGATCAGCCAAGTATGTATTGAGCATTACCCTTTGCCAGATCTTATTAATGTACCGATTATAATAAAAACAGAATCATAATTGCTAAATTCACTAAATATTACATAAATGCCAGGTTTTAATAATTTAGCAGGAATTATTTAATCCTCACAACTCCATAATGTAGATACTTTTATTATCTCTCCCCTTACAAATGAGAAATCTCGGGTTTACTCTAAGTCCTTTAGTTCACTTAGCTGATTTCTCTTATTCTACCAGACCTCCACATTTCTACAATCTTTTCTCTCTTCTCATCCACTGGAACAAGAGAGGAGTCTAAACTTCGACAGTGTGAGAGGTTACTCCAGGACTCAATGTGCTAAGATGTGCTACTATACCTCCACCACAGAGCATAATAGGCTGAAAAGGTACTTCCTTATCAGACAGGGGTCTGGGGTGCCCATGAAGCACCACAACCCTGGAGGTACAGAAGTCCACTGGACTCTAGAAACAAATTAACTGCTGACTGTGGCTTCACTCAACGATGGAGAGACATCACCTGCACTGTCCTTCCAAATGGATCCCAGATCACCAAAGGACAACTGCACTGAATATCAACATACTATACCTTCTGACATACGATCCTGTGAGGAGTAAACAAATTACCTTAGTCCTAGGACTAGCTTGGTTTAAGTTGATACTAGCTGTACGATGAAAGACAAATTCTCACAACATATATTTTCAATACATATTTAGAAATAAATTATAAGTTATCTGTATGCAAATGCAAATTTTAGTGCAAACTGCTTGAGGTCTTTGTGAAGAGGTATAATTTTGAAACTTTTTAGCCTACTGAAATCAAGATGTGTTAATCAGCACAAGTTTTGAATCAGTATTTCCAACCATGCTACTGTCTCATATTTTTTAGCATAAGGAATGACATAAGGTCTGAGACTCAAGTTTATTCCTGAACCTGTCACTATTCTTCATGTTTTTCTGAGCAAGTTACTTAATTCTTTCCTCTATTGAAGTAGGAAATTAAGAAAATAACAGAATAATAGTATAAGTAGTAATAGTAAAAATTATAGTAATAGTAAGAAAAATAACAATGACTCATAGAATGAATTGCTGTATTAACCAAGGCTGAAAAGAATTTAAGTGGCCTCCCTCTCAGAAGCTAAAGTTAAGAGAGAATACTATCTGTCCCAAGAAACACTAACCATATCTCTTTCCCACAAATTTGTAAGTTCTGTAAGTCCCTGTTGTTCTTGCTGTGCAGCTGCAAGGTCACGAGATAAATAAGTGAAAGTTGAGTTGCAACTCATATTTTTCCTAAGATGTAAGTCATGGCATAAATGACTAACAGCGTTTGTTCTCGCTTCTGCAAACCTGCTTCCTACTTCACGTATTTCCCACCCCAAAATGCTTAAAAGTTGCTCACTTTCTTTGTTCGGGGCTCAGACTTTCAGGACGCATGTCCGCTGAGCCGATACACACCTAAAACAAAAGCTCTCCTGCATCCCGATCAGTCTCTCTGTTTCCTTAACTTCCTGCAACACTATAAAATTAGGTAAATCATACTAGACAATTTCAGATTTCTTTCAAGTCTGACATTCCACCATTCTAGAAATATGTAGATTCCTTCCAGTGACAGAAAAAGGAAATAAATAAATAAATACACTGAAATAGATAAGCATAAGAAGGGCAAAGGAAAAATAATCGGAAATTACAAATACACAAATACATATTTTACTATTACACTGCGGTGTAATTTTGTTTTTACATTTTGGACAGTCTTTATTTTACAAAACATACCTTGCCTCTGGAATATTGTCTTGCCTTATCCGAATCCATAACAACTTAAGCATAAATGGCAGCAAAGGATAAAAGGCATGCAATCATACGTATATGTGTTTTGATTTTAAAAATACAGTGTTTTTCAGTGTCATTTTCTGCTGTGATCTTTTATTTGTGACAATTTTTTTCAAATCACAGTGAGAACACCTTAATCACCACCTTAGTCCACAAGCCTAAGAAGCAGTTCTGCATTATCATCTTACTTTAGAAACAACAAAGTTAAATTTCTTCTTTTGTTCATCTATTCACTTGCTGCCATATATACAAGGCAAATTCATAATATGATAACGCAGATTCTGCCTTCTGCTGTGTTGTGAAGGAAAATTGCTCTCACTGGACTCTCACTCCTTACTCCACAATGGGAAAATGGTTTCTGCTTTCTAAGTCTAGAGATGAAACTTATTGTTTTGGAAGATTCTGGCATATTAAGTTCTAGAAGGTCTGTCACAGTCTATGGAATTGATGCGCAGGTTTGAACTCCTGGAACTTGGCTGAGAAAATCTTGTCTATGATGTTTTCCAACCCAAAGCATCACTACAGAGCCTGCAGCCGTGAGGAAATCAAATCAGATCAGCTTCTCCACTAAAAGCTAAAAGGCAAGGGCTGAGGTATGTTTCTACCACTGATGTTGAATGCTCCCTTGTCTGAAAAATTTCCAGCTCTATACAAACTCGGATAAGTTGTGAGTATACGGTAACCAGGGGCAACTATTTCATGAGGCACAAAGCAAAAAAATGTGTCCATCTAGATGTGCATTTGTTCCAGTTTGTAATGATTTCTGTGTAATAAGGGTCAACACAAAGAGTGGCAAAAGCCACAGAAGGAACCATGATTCTAGTACGCTGTTTACCTAGGACTGAAGCACAAGCTGCTGAAAGAGTGTCTATGAGGGGCACTCACTAGGGCACCGGCAGCATCACTCAGGCTGGCAGGAGCAGACCCAAGTGCAACCATGTTGGACAATAACCCTGACATTTCTTGGCTATCACCTCCAAGGTAGACTTCATTCAGAGCTAAAACTACTGGCAAACACAAAGAATGAATGTGAATTCTTTGTTCATCTTTGCCAGACAGATGCAAGAGTGCTGGCTGAAAAGAAACCAACTGAGTGTCAGTAAGACTCTCTTCTACAGACATCTGATCTAGCACCTGGGATAACCCTGGACTTGGCAGTAAGTCTGTTGGCTGAACAAAAAATAGTCTCCATGGAAAGGATAAATGGAAAGACCTTTGGTGCACCAAATCCTCATGGCTGCCTGAAAGCCTGAGTAAGGTAACCCTAATGTTCTTTCTGTAGCTTCTGTACTTCCACTGGATTGTGCTGATGGTGGTGAAAGATATAGTTATAGACACTACTTGCTGAATACAAAGAAATACAACCCAGAGAAGTCAAACCCAAGTGCTGTCCACTGAGAAGGAACAATAGCTACCTGCTGGCCAAAAGAGTCCCAGACTCATTTCTTATAGAAGTCAGCGGGTGATATAGGTTGGTGCAAAAGCAATTGCAGTTTTGACATTACTTTAAATAGCAAAAAAAACACAATTGCTTTTGCACCGATCTAATATTAAATATATCATTTCTTACAGATGATCTTTGGTTGGGTTCTTCTAATGGGTTCAAGATTCCCATTCCAAGAGTTGAGAGCTGTTTTCCAGACAGAAATTCAATCACCAGTTGAGGATATCAGTTAGTGGAGGCCTGAAGTGTAGGACCCAAGGCACTCTGGTGTCTTTAGAGTTTCAGCAAACATTTCCAGCAACGTTTTCCGTGATCTTGGACAAGCTCTTTACTTTTATACTAATAAGTAACCTGGCATAAGTATAAAACATCTTTGGTATCTGAAACTATCAGCAGCTAAGGTTAAAAGAGGCCTTCTTGAAGACCGTAGAGATGGGTTGTACTGTCAACTGTCAGGAAGCCAATTTTCTAGTGTTGGCAGGAAGCCCTGTATTCTGAAGGAGACATAAACTCAACAGGATGTTTTAGACATCAGGTCTTCTGTAAGATTCTCCATAACTTCTGTTCAATGGGTAGCACCTGATTTCTTTAGAAATATTATTGATTCAGTAACAGTGTTGCACTTCCCTCTCTTTTCTATGGTACAATTTTAAAGTATTATTAATTTTCCCTACTGCTTAAGGCAGACATCTGTATTTAAGATTACATCGGAAGTTTAAAAAATAACTCTATTTTTCTATTTGTATGTATGTATATGTACTTACAAAAAAGAAGTAAAATGACCAAAGGGCACTGTTTTTTCTCCTTTTGCGAAAAATAAATGATATCATGTATATCAAGAAGACAAGAGAAGCTGCATAACCGGGAGTAACTATAACCTGAGGATAATACAAATAATAACACAGTCAAAAAATAAAATATTACTGAGGAAAAAATTAGATTACAAATTCTAAAACACATTTTATCATACATTTTATCATACAAATATCTAAAACACATTTATATCATACATAAAACTTTCCATGTTTTATGTTTTGGTTTATTAGAAAATATGAATTAAAACATCTTAAATACATAAAATAACAATGTTAAAATTTATTCTTAATTACTTTATGAAATTTGGTTTATGTACTGTGTTACTTACCAAAGCAAACACAATTTGGCTTGTAATAAGAAGGTACTGCATGTTTTCTATGTAGAAAATTAAATACATTGCAAGGAGAATTAAAATGAAGAAGCTGACGTCCACTAGTGCCTGCCCACACCAGTAAGCAGAAGTGTAGAGGCCCGAAATCCATAGCTGGGACTTAGCATTTTTCTGATTAAAAAAGAAAAAGAAAGAAATGTATATAGATTCAATTAAAATGCAAATCTAAAATAAACACAAACACATTGGAAGAAATTTTAAGATAAATAAAATCTAATCTTCTAATATTAAAAAAAAATTATGCATATACTGCTTAGTAACCTGAGGCTTATAGAGCCAGTTCCATGGTTTACAAGTTGTCTATTTAAAAAAAAAAAGAAAGTACAGTGTGATAGGTTTGACTCGCAACACTACTTTATCTCCTGCATAATGAATAGAAAAGTAACCTCATAATGTTCAAGGCATTAAACTCTATAAAAAGAAGTATTGGCCAGCATGGTGGCTCAAGCCTGTAATACCAGCACTTTGGGAGGCTGAGGTGGGTGGATCACAAGGTCAGGAGATTGAGGCCATTCTGGCTAACATGGTGAAAGCCCATTTCTACAAAAAATACAAAAATTAGTTGGGCGTGGTGGTGCAAGCCTGTAATCCTGTCTACTCAGGAGGCTGAGGCAGGAGAGCTGCTTGAACCCAGGAGGCTGAGGTTGCAGTGAACCGAGATTGTGCTACTGTACTCCAGCCTGGGCAATAGAGTGAGACTCCATCTCAAAAAAAGATGTATTATTTTGTGACCTGGAGGACATAATACATTTACCTTTGCCTAAATATCTTGGAGAGTTTCTAGGTCAGGATGGTGAACACTGATATATGTAACTGTTTTGTCTGAATAATGGGCATAACTGAATACAAATATAACATAAAATTGCAATTTCCAGAGTGGAAAAGGAATTCAAGTCTTAAATTTGGCCTTCAATTTCAACATCAATGATTTCCTTCTTGTGGTTGGGAAATAATGTGGCCAAAAGATTTATAATATTTCCCTTTGAAGCTTTAGACTAATTGGAGTCTCTGAAAAATCATTGTACTTTTCAGGTGACATTGGAATAAAAAAGCATTTTGAGTTTTTATAAGTAAATTATCTGACTTGCTAAGAATAAGGTTTAGCTACAATATCTAAATTAAACATACATTCAAACGTTTTTCTCAGAAAACATTCTGAACACATAGCATTCAAAATACAGATATTGAAATTCCTGAAATTTCTTCTTCTCCCCGCTTTTTCTTACCTTGTAATCACTGATGCTGCCCATGGTGATGTAAGGAGAAATGCTACATAGAACCAAAAATAAGAAAAAGGAACCATCCGGCAGCCCAGTCCAGAGTCCTATGTGGCTCTGAAAATATAAAGCGTAGCTTAAACTAGTGAATATTTGTTAAATGAAACAAATAATTATAGCCACAAAAATGCACTTTTTTGAAATGTTGAAAAATCAAAGTAAACGTGTAGCTCATCACCATCGATGCACAGAGGTGGGAAGGAAAATGACTCTGATCTTCAACTCAAAGAACAAAGAGAAGTCAAAAAGTCATTTAGGACCTATTTCTGGGGATATTTCCAAAAGAATTGAAAGCAAGCTCTCGAAGAGACACCCACACATTCATATTCACACCAACAATACTCACAGGGGGAAGTAACCCAAAAGTCCAAATTAATGGACTAACAAAATGTGTATGTATATACAAACAATGGAATACTATTCAACCTTGACAAGGATCACCTGAGGTCAGGAGTCCGAACCAGCCTGACCAACATGGTGAAACCTATCTCTACTAAAAATACAAATTCGGCCAGGCGTGGTGCATGCCTGTAATCCCAGCTACTTGGGAGGCTGAGGCAGGAGAATCGCTTGAATCCGGGGGGTGGAGGTTGCAGTGAGCAGAGATCACCCCATTGCACTCCAGCCTGGGCAACAAGAGCAAAACTCCTTCTCAAAAAAAAAAAAAAAAAAAAAAGGAAGGAAATCCTGTCACATGCTACAACGTAGACGAACTTGGAAAACATGCTAAGTGAAATCAACCAGTTACCAAAAGACAAATATTCCATTTATATAAGGTATGTAAACTAGTAATATTCATAGAAACCAAGTAGGATGGTGGTTTCTAGGGGATAGGGGGAGGGGGAAATGTTTAATTGGCGTCGAGTTTCAATTCCGCAAGACGGAAAAGTTCTGGAGACGCATTTCACAACAGTGTGAGTAGACTTAATACTACTCAACTGTACACTTGCAAACAGCTGAAATGGTCAATTTTATATCATGCATTATTACCACAACACAAACATAATAATTCAGAAGTTAGGACCTTTGATGAACACATAATTCAGGCCTGAGCAGCATGTCTTTCTGAGCAAACCCAGAGATGGAAACCTCAGTAGCTGGGTGGATGTGTTCTGAAGCACAGAACTAAGAAGAAAACTTGTTGCTGCTTGTCTTAACTTCAGGGAAAGGAACTTTAAATCACTGCCCCCAAATCATCATCCACTCGAGGCTAGGCCAAGTGGACACTCAAGCAGCATCTAGGACTACCTCATGGATATAATTAAAGGATAGCCGCATAAGCCTGTCTCAGAATAATTCTGTAATTCTTTAACTTTATTTAAGGTTTTGAGGGCTATGTCTGCAAATCCATTTTTCATCATAGGAATGAGGGAGGAAAGGTGTGTGCCATGGGGAAGTGGGAGTGGGGAACAGGTTCCTAATAGAGTGGCTATGGACTTCAGTCCATTTCCATCCTGAGCAAACACAATGGCATTAGGAAGCTAATAATTCAGAAGTTAGGACTTCTGATGAACACATAATTCAGGCCTGAGCAGCACGTCTTTCTGAGCAAACCCAGAGATGGAAATCTCAGTAGCTGGGTGGATGTATTCTTTGGAAGGATAGCAGCATGAGCCTGTCTCAAAATAATTCTGCAATGAGACAGGCTTATGCTGCTATCCTTCCAAAGAGGAAGGGTAATCACTGTCTCTTTCTGCTACTCCTCTGGTTCCACGTTCTAGAGAATTCCCTTCAGACACCCCTTCCCTCAAGTCACCCTGTACAGCAGACCCGTTTACGTGATCAGTTGTTCATATTCAACTCACGGAGGTATATGTCTGTCACGAACATCTCAAGTACTGTATATTTCATCCCCATTGTCCCCATGGCTTGCAGAAAATCTGCGCTTGCATATTCTCCCAGCACCACTGATTCACTGATTCAGTGAAGCCAAAACTGAACTTCACACTTTTGTCACACAATGGACTTCGCTTTGGATGGCTTCATTTCTAATCCTGCTTCTTGATGTTTTAAACTTCTGGTGTGAAACAGTTAGAGCCAGCTTTGAGAGACCCCTGTTGGTATCAGGCAGGGTCTAACCAGAAAACCGTGACTACATTAAGTACTTAGAGTGCAATTCCTTAATGACATGGTTAGGTGGGTGATGAGCATCCCACAAGGACGGTGAAGTGAGAAGCAAGCCATTGTTGCTCCTGGGCTGCAGGAACAACAGAAGGAGGTGATGTGACTGGAGCCCAGCGTAGGGGGTCCTCTGCTTTTCTGTCTCCCACCGCTGCTTTCTGGTGTCTAAACTGTCTGAAGCCAGACTACAGCCAACTGACACAGAATCCAATGCAGCCTGTCCCTCGCAACATAGAGCAACTATGAGTAGGTGAAGAAATAAATCAACAGATAGCCTCAGAACTGGCAGATTCCCCTTCATATTAGTCTGTCTACTACACATTTAGTCAATGGAGGGTCCACTAACTAATTATAATAGATTTATAAGTAACCAGGGTTACAAGTGCTCCTGATTTCCAAGTCAGTGTTTTCTTGCTTCTGTTTCTCTCTCTCATACACTTCCACAATCAAGTATGTACAACTTTTCAAAACATTCCCTAGAAGACTGACAAAATATTGAAAAGTATTCCCTCATGATAATTATCTGATAACTTGGCAAGAAAAAGAAATCCTGTTTTGTTTGCTACAACTCATTTAAAATATTAGGACAAAATAATAATTTTCAGGCTTAACAATCACTTGTAGATATTTAAAAGCTAAAGAGAGAAAACATAGGCTATTTGTCCAATTCTTAATTGTTTAGACTCAGTAAATCCAATACTTACAAGAGGAAATGGACTTGACTCAATTCGAATATGTTGTGTGTGATTAAGCATTCGAAGTAGCCCATTGCTGATAATATTCATAAGAATCGGAAAACAGTGCAATCTCTTGGTATTACACACAACTGAAAATCTATAATCCTTAAAACAGAAACAAATAAATAATGTTAATACTAAATTCTTAAAGAACAAAGGCAAGGTTTATGTATAAAAGATCCTAACAGTGCCACATGCTTGCTGTGTGTCCATCTTCAAGTTAACGAAAATTTCTGAGCTTTACCTTCCTCATCTATGAAAAGGAGATACTAAACGGGTTGTTGCAGGGCTTAAATGACACTCTATTTATGTGCATTAAGTGCTAGCACGGAGTCAGCATACAATCAATATGAATTTTTATTAGTATTACTAATTTTAGATAATTTTGTCTTCAATTTGCTGATGGGGAAATTTCAGTTAGTGGAGTTTAAAAGTCTCCCTGACAAGGAGACGTTGTCAGTTTATGATGAAGAAGCAAAGGAAGATCGGCCATGCTGGCTCATACCTGTAATCTTAGCACTTTGGGAGGCCAAGGCGGGCAGATCACTTGAGGTCAAGAGTTCGAGACCAGCCTGGCCAACATAGCAAAACTCCATCTTTACTACAAAATACAAAAATTAGCCAGGTGTGGTGGCACATGTCTATAATCCCAGCTACTCGGTAGGCTGAGGCAGAAGAATCACTTAAACTCGGAAGGTGAAGGTTGTAGTGAGCCAATCTCACACCACTGCACTCCAGTCTGGGCGACAGAGTGAGACTCTGTCTCAAAAAAAAAAAAAAAAAAAAAAAAAGCAGCAGCAGCAAAGGAACGCTGGCCTTCTGGACAGGAGATAAGCATGGAGTTCATTAAATATTCATGCTTACCCTGCCAAAGAAGCATTTTCCCACTTCCTAAAGCAATCTTTATGTTTATGTACTTCATGTTTAGGAAAATGTTCATGCATCTATTAGGAGGTTTATTGTTTAAATCTTACCACTAGTTCATATAGTAAATATGTGAGGTAGGTAACATAGTAACTGACAAAGTAATTTCCCAAAACTGGCACAAAGGGATTACATTTTTTATAGCATATTTAGTTTACACAGAACTGAATTCAGTAATACATCTTCAAAGGCTTTTCTTTTTAAAAAGTTTACTTTGTAGCAATAAATAAAGAGGTAGCTTCACTTAATTAGGCCCCTTGCTTTTATTAGAATGCAAATAAGACTGAAGGGTTCTTAAGATTAAGACATATTTTGAAGCCGAGCATGGTGACTTAGGCCTGTAATCCTAGCATTTTGGGAGGCCAAGGCAGGAGGATCACCCGAGGTCAGGAGTTTGAGACTAGCCTGGCCAACATGATGAAACCCCCTCTCTACCAAATATACAAAAACTAGCTGGGCACGGTGGTGCCTGCCCGTAGTCCCAGCTACTCTGGAGGCTGAGGCAGGAGAGTCACTTGAACCTGGGAGGCAGAGGTGTAGTGAGCCGAGATTGTGGCACTGCGCTCCAGCCTGGGTAACAGAGCAAGACGCTGTCTCAAAAAAAGTATTTTCAATAGTCTTGTTCTCTGATGAATCTCTATGGCTTGATTCTTTTACCCAAATTGACATATGCTAAGGTAGCAGATCGAGAATAATTTTTTCTCAGGGATTTCATGTAGATATTATAGTATCTAATGTATTTTCTCAATATATAAAAATAAACATTATTCAGGTAGTTAGCTACTGAATAAAATTCCTTAGATCCATAATTATATTGATTGATAATTATAAGCTATAATATTTTTATTGAGTTTAAACAATACAATTAAATTTAGATCCTTTCAAATGTAAAAATTATCTAATTCAAAACAAAGCTAAGATAGAAAATGTTTTACAAAAACTTGGGTAAACTTCACAGTATATTAAATAACAACCCAGATGGTTTTTCTGAGTCAAGTTGCTGTATACTAGCACTAATTTTCTGCAGTTTTAAAACAACTAAAATGTAGTACTTTTTGCTTATTTTCATAAAAGCAAAAAGGCAAACATACCTTTTGTTTACCGGAAACTATGATCGCTCCATTGTATGAGAGGCCATCAGTACCATTTCTGTTTTCAAAGTCATCTACTTCCAAAAGTATATTTTGATGCTTCAGTGATTTTATAAAATCTTCAATATTTGATTCTAATATGAAGTTAATAAGAGAAGGCCATAGAAAAGTAAGAAAACACATATCAAACTTTTAAAATAAATCATACTCATGATTAAAGTTAGTATTTATGGAATACTATGTATAAATATCTTTCTTTGGGTATCACAGTAATAATATTGACCCACACTCTACCATCTTCTATTTAGCAAATTTTATACCACAATGAATTCGCTTTATAAATCTGTTTAATGCAAATTAACATGTAATCATAAAAATAAGCTAATTCTATTGTATGACTTTTTGGTAAACAACAACAACAACAACAACAACATTTGAATTGAATAATCTGTGGAGATACAATAATTTTATGAGGAGTACTTCAGATTGTCCAGCCTAAAACAGCCAATGATAACACTCTTCTCTCTCCCTTGTTCTTCTTCCAAAGAATGGACAAGTAAATATATATGTGTCTGTATAACACATACATATGTTTCACTTTGTTTTAAACATTTACATACATATTACATACATGTATATTGTATAAATATAATCTTTCTTAGGAAGTGAAAGAGGATGTCATCATCAGATCAGGGTTTTGGATATGACCCTAAAGAAGAAAGCAGATGAGAACGTCTGACTGCAAAATATGAGCTGAGAAAAATTCACAGCCTAGAGCACACCGGAGCAAACAACTGAAGGTAAAACCAATTTCCAGGATACCTGAACTCAGAGTGGATGAATGCAAGAGGGTAAGGTGGGCTCTGAAGCTACAGTCAGGGTCGTGAACTATACCTGAAAAAAGATGACCTGTCAGGCCCCTCCCCACATTCGGCACAGAACACACAGTAGCCGCAGTTGTCCTCAGGGTAAGAGTCCCATATTTACTTACTAAGAGACATTATCTGAGGAGCACAGCTGGGCAAACCTGATGTAACTGCAAACAATAATTCGGGCAAGATGGAATGAATAAGAGGATAAGAAGGACTTTATTTATTTATTTATTTATTTATTTATTTATTTATTTTGCCTTTGAAATGGGAGTTTATAGCGGGCTCTGGGATTGGAAAAATAAGGCCAAACCTTAGATGAATTAGGATCCCTCCACCAAGTGATACAGGGACATGCACATAGAAAATAAGCTTTCCATACACCTTGAGCAGCCACACACCCCACTCCACCTCCAGTCACTTGAGGTGCAGTGCCATATACTGACCCACATCCACCTAGGGAGACAGGGATTCTCACATTAAAAGATAAACATGTTACCAATAATTGTCAGATTTTGAGAAAAGAGGAACAAAACGGCACAGAAGCTTCCAACTTAAACCATAAAATACCTAAGTACGGAGACAAAAAAATAAATAAATTAACACAAGTCCACTGTCCTCAAGAGTGACCAAAGAGGAAAAGAGAGACCTGATTTACTTATCTTATGAGCTCATAGGTAAAGAAACCTTTCTAGATCTCGGAAATTAAACGTACAATTAGCATTTAAGGTAGTGAAGTGAATAAAATTTACTTTCCAAAACCCAAATGGAAAACAAGAAGAATGAGAAACGGAAAGGAAAAGACCATCTTTGTTTAAAGACCATACACTGCAGGCCTGAGTCGCAAATCCATGGGAAAATCAAATGAGTGAGGAACTCGGCAAGGGAAGACTCTTACTGTAATTTTTTTTTTTTTTTTTTTAACGTCTGAGGTACTAACACAAAAGTTCCTTCTTCAAAGTTAATTAAGTGGTTAGAAAAAAATATATATATATACCGGCTGGGCACAGTGGCTCACATCTATAATCCCAGCACTTTGGGAAGCCAAGGAGGGCAGATCACTTGAGGCCAGGAGTTCAAGACCAGCCTGGTCAACATGGCAAAATCCCATTTCTACTAAAACTACAAGGAAAAAAAATTAGTCAGACGTGATGGCACATGCCTGTAATCCCAGCTACTCAGGAGGCTGAGGCAGGAGAATTGCTTAAACCTGGGAGGTGGAGGTTGCATTGAACCGAGATCGCACCACTGCACTCCAGCATGGGCAACAGAGCAAGACTCTGTCTCAAAACAAAACAAAAACAAAACCAACTACCCATTGTGTGGGATAACAAAATAAGGCGTCTTCCTGTATCTTGTACTTAATGATGGGGCATGGGGGATAGATAGCCCATCTTCACATGGTGACCAGTATGCGTTGTCTTTGTGGTATAGGTCAGGCTGCTGTGTAACAAAGTGATCTCAAAATAGAATGGGTGCGCCAATATAGAAATGTATTTGTCACGTAATAGCTTAGGGTAGTCAGGTAGATAGACATCTTTACTCTTCCAGGTTATACAGTGACCCAAGTTCTTTTTCTCTTGTCCTCATCATCCCTGGCATCTCCAAAATCAGAGTAAATATGCACTGTTCCTCATTAGGTGTTTTCTATAAATGAAGTTTAAATACCCATTTTCTTTTATGATTTACTTTCCCCTCCTCCTGTGCTATTCAACAATAAAAATAACTTATTTCTGGATTTAAATGTTATTTTTCTTTTCACCTGTGTTATTGATGATCAACAGGCTGGTACGGGGTTCCTGGGGAAGTTGTCCAGGAGACAGAAAATACAATTCGGTTTTAAATTCCCAATCGATCTTTTCATTTAACATAGCATACATTATATTTTCGACAATCAAAGGGAACATTGCGATTCCAAATACCAATAATCTAAACAACAAAGAAACATTAGCATATGAATCTCTAGGAATTTTATTTATTTAGTAAGACATTCCACAAGTATTTGTTGAGTGCCAAGCCTGCCTTATGCCTATCATGATTTGGTACTAAAATTCTGAAGGTAATACCCTAGCATGCTACACAGTACCAGAAGGCATTACCATATAAATACCAGGTTATGAAACCATGAAAACAAAACACACCTGCATGTATAAGCCTAATCGAGTGTGAACATTCAAGTATTCCCACTGTCAGAAAACTTAAATGCTGAATTTGTCCACCCTGTGGCAGGAATATCAGATACTGTGTTCAAAATTATCTTCTGGTTTGAACCTCTTTTGAAACTCATGATCTAACAAAACCACAGTACTCTGCTACTCACAGGGTCAATAACACTTTCGTTTGACGTTTTAACTTTAAGAAACGGAGCCGCGCCATGGCAAAGACTTGCATTCTCCAGAGGTGCATGTCACTCACAGCTGTCTGCATTTCAGAGAAGGAAGAGTGAGCCAGCTCCATTTCATTGAGGCTTTCAGAGTCTCTTATCATCTCCACTTGTTTGAAATCTATATACACATACACACAAACACACATATTATAATATTAATGCCATCCTGGAGGCATCACAGATTTTCCTTAGTAATACTAAAAACAGTATTACATGGCCAGGCGTGGTGGCTTACGCCTGTAATCCCAGCACTCTGGAAGGCTGAGGTGGGCAGATCACCTGAGGTCAGGATTTCAAGACCAGCCTGGTCAACATGGCGAAATCCTGTCTCTACCAAAAATACAAAACTTAGCCGGGCCTGGTGGCGGGCGCCTGTAATCCCAGCTCCTCAGGAGGCTGAGGTAGGAGAATCGCTTGAACCTGGGAGGCAGAGGTTGCTGTGAGCCGAGATTGTGCCGCTGCACTCTGGCCTAGGAGACAGAGTGAGATTCTGTCTCAAAAAAAAAAAAAAAAAGGTTTTACATTTGTTTTATTTTTATAACCAATTCAAAGGAATTATTTAGACATCGTTTTTCAATATTTATTAAGTTTATACTTCACCACTGCCATCTATATTTTCTTCCTATAGTTAAGTTTGTAATTGCCAATGGTGATAAAAAATTAAAAGTTTAAATCAAATAAAGTTTTAGATTGCTTGTGGTTACAGTGCAAACAATATAAGAAGCATGTTATGACGCCCATATTCTATACTCAGTGAGAAAATATGCTGAATTCATACCAAAAGAATAATTCACAAAAATGGTGATTTCATTGTGCCCAATATTTGAAAAGCAAAGAAATTCCCAAGAATATCATTACTTGGAGGGATTTTTAAGAAATCTTCTGCATAAAAATACCCAATCATTACCACCTAAATATCTACTACTAAGGTGTCAATCATTTAGTAGTATAGGGGAAAGATCATCAGCTCTGAACTGCCAGATCTGTACATAAGTCTTACATCTGTGATCGGGGAAAATCACTTAACTGCTCACAGGTCTGATTTTCTCATTTGTAAACCAATGCCAATGACACTTCCTGGAAAGGTTATTATAGGAAGATAATGTTGAAGGCATATATATCAATGTATATCCATACATTAAGCATAAGAGGAGCTCCATAATGACAATGATTATTATCACCCATTAAAATATACAAGAGTGGATGCTGAGAATTCTCCCCACTAAGACCTTAGTGGAATTTTGTATATTAACAAGATAAGAGCAATTTTTATCTTAAAAAAAAATCTGTTCAGACCTCATTCCCCTAATTAAGAGCCTTTCACAGCCTGAAGGTATCTAAGAAGCAGGGAACATCTGAGGATAGGAAATAGTTTCCGAAAGGAAACTTGGTAGACTCCATGAAGGGATCTGTGATCAGTCGTAGTAATGATGCTAAGAAATAATGACAGCCCATTTCAAATGGCAGAGCCAAATTTGGAATGAAATCACATTTCTCAGTGTGAATCACCCACAAGAAATAATAAATACTAAATTGACACATGATCATTTGGGAATTGGTTTTCTGTGAATTAGACAAATGGCTTTACCTTGTTTGGTAGTTGACTGTCCTTCCAGTTTCATAAAGATTTCATTTAGAGTTGACATGGAAATGTCATAACCTGTCACTCCCTGGTCAGAACACTTATCCAGATTACTGAAAAGATCTAAGGCAAAAAATATGAATAGATACTTTGAAAAACCACATCGAGAACTAAACCAAGTAAATTAATACTTATTTAAAAGATGATACATAATATTGTTAAGAAAATTATGTCTTTGGAGTATCACAGTAGTCAAAAGCAAAATTTCATGAGAATCCTCTCCTTCTCTGAAATAACTAAGGAAGACCTCTTCCTCCATCATCAAACTGTCTCACTTCACCTTCCATTCTCAGTTTATGAGCTTCCTGTAGATTTCTCTGCAGAAATCTGAACAATCAGAAAGACCATTATCTTCTCACCTCCACACTACAAACCCACGTATATCTCTACCTATATTCTGGGTCTTCTTTCTGTATAAGTCTTTCAATGGTTTCTCAATGCATTTAAAATAAAAATCAAAGTCAATAACACAACCTCTGAAGCTCCGAAAGAGCCTGTCTCCATCTATCCATACAACCTTACCCACCTCCATTTGCCATTCTGCTCTCTCACTCATTGCCCTCCAGACATCCTCCTTTCCCCTCTACTTGGAGTGTTCTTGACCATTTTCTTCTTGTGGCCTTCAGTGGCCACTCTATATAAACCTCAGCCAGACACCAGTCATTACTCTAACTCACTGGCCTTGTTTATTATTTTAGTGTACAATTGTTGAAAAATTTGTATATTTTGTGTGTCTACCTTTCCCTATCTAGTTAGATGTAGGCTGTGGTATTTCTAGTTGCTGGAGCAGTGCCTTTTATATAATACTTTCCCAGTACACATTTATTGGCTAATTCTTTCATGGAGATACTTGGATGAGATGGCAGGATTCTAGAAGACTCTTAGATGCTACTTTCTACTTTGGGTGGGAGGATGGGCCAATGACATTATTGAGAGGAACTAGGTGGATGAGACTGTAGCATACACTGTGTTTCCCTATGACCTGCACACGGCAGCAAGGGACCTGGGAGTCCCATGTCCTGAAAAGGATATAAGCATGCCATTCGACTAGCAGAGGCCTTGGGTCTGTGTAAAGAGGCTGCCATGGGCTGGGAGGTCAACAAAGTAACTCTGGCAAAGTAATATATTCCAGTAGTGGTACCAACATATAAATCCTTATTCTCCTTCTCTGACCAAACATGAAAGTGGACCAGTTGCACCTCACAGGGCCTTAGTCCAAGAACAAAATGACATGGCATAGTCCACTGATCTGAGAAGAACACCATCTTCTATGCTACTGCAGGGACATAGAGAGCTGCCACACTGGGGAGTGAAGCTAAAATCTGGGAATTCCTGTATATTTGCCTAATGAAACGGAATTATGTAAAAGAGCTTATTAAGGCAGGTATATAGGGAGTTATACCTTTAACAAACTAAATGTTTAAACCAAAGGGAAGCTGTTTAAATCAAAAGACACTGAAATACATTTCCTCATTTGTAAGATAGGGCAAGTTATAGCACCCATCTCATAGAAAAAACAGTTGTGAGAACTAAAGGAGTTAATATATATGAAACCATTAGAACAGTGCCTAACATGTAGAAAACATTACACAAAGAGCTAGTAATCTTTAGGATTGCTTATCAAACAAAGTCTGAATGGGTGCTGCTACCCAGTTGGCAGGGAACCGAGGGTTGAACACTTTTGTAGACTACGTAAGTTGTTTTTCTCTGCAAAATAACACATGCACAATTAAAATAGAGAAATCCTGCCTTATCCACAGTTTCATTTTTCACAGTTTCAATTATCCACCGTCAACTGCTGTCTAAAAACACAAAATGGAAAATTCGAGAAATAATTCATAAGTTTTCAGTTGTGTGCCCTTGTAAGTAGTGTGATGAAATCCTTCACCATCCCACTCCATCTTGCTCAGGCTCAGGACATGCATCATCCCCTGTCCAGCAGAACCATGCTATACCCGCCTATCACTTAGTAGCCCTCTGCGATATTAGAGCAACTGTCATGCTATTGCAGTACAAGGCACCCCTATTTTACCTAATAAGGCTCCCAAAGTGCAAGAGTAATGATGCTGGCAATTTGGATATGTCAAAGAAAAGCCATAAAATGCTTTCTGTAAGTGAAAAGGTGAAAGTTCTCAACAAGGAAAAAAAAAAAAAAAACTTAGGCTGATGCTAAGATCTAATGTAAGAATAAATCTTCTGTCTGTGAAATTGTGAAGAAGGCAAAAGAAATTCATGCTACTTTTGCGGTTGCACCTCAAACTGCAAAAGTTACAGCCACAATGCCTGTTAAGTGCTTAGTTAAGATGGAAAAGGCATTCAATGTGTAGGTGGAAGACATGAACAGAAATGTTTTCGGATCGATGGCAATTAGGTTTGGTTCTATCCACGGTTTCAGGCGTGAACTGGAGATCTTGGAACTATCTATTCCTTGTGAATAATGGGGGGCTACCTTACAAAGAGAAACTTGTAGCAGAAACCTTTCTGCCCCACCAACATCTCTTCTGGATTCACCTGGACACGGTAAATCTACTTATTAAAAGCACCTGCCTGAGGTCCTTTTTCTGTACTTGGAAGTATTCTAAGCTCATGTTCAGAGTAAGCCAGATGGATGAGAAAGCTAATGCTCTCGTAGGCATCCCTTAATCAACAATGGATGGGGAACAGTGGGTAAGAACCCCAGCTTACTCACCCCTCTGGTGACAAAACGCTGAACCCACTTATTTCATTTATTTCCCTTCCATGGGCATTGCACCTCAATTGTCTACCACAGTAATCTGCTCCAGAATTCAGACTTCCCTGGCTGCCTTCCCTTCCCTCTCACCTGTCCCCATTATCTGCTGGTGCTTCAAGGAAGCAACTACCCAATAAATCAATGGCACTCAATCCTTCCTCTCGAGTTCTGCTTCTCAGGTGGCCAAAACTAAGAAAAAGTCTAAATTAATTAGACAAAGAAAGTTACTATAATAATAAAGTGAACATTTTTCCCCAAATTTCATGTATTGTAATCATAGTTGAGTTACCTGGAAATATGTTTGTCCTTTCCAATGGCAAAGTATATACAAGCTTTTCTTTGTTTTTTGTTTTTAATTTAGCGTCGGGGATGTGATGAGTAATGAAGGATGTTATTTGTTCTGGATTACATATTTCATTCCTATGTAAACTAATATTTAAAAGAAAAGACAAGTCATTTGCATTTTCTCCACCACTACCACAAAAGAAGAGCTTTAACTGAACACCTAGCTGTAGAGCACTACTTTGCTTGGCTTTATGAAACAAAAAGATGAGTAAATTATAACATGATAGTAATCTATCAGTTTGAACATTTTGTAATCTATATATAGAAAATGTATAAGCTCAGAAAATGTATAAGTACAATTATACATTGTAATGTATAATTACAAATATACAAACAAATATATAATATAAATTAAACGATATAGAGTTTTATATGTATAGTTACAGATAAATGGAGGAAGGTGAGAATGTTAGGAAGAAGAGACTTCTTAGGGAAAATAATTATTATACCAGACCATATCATTAGCTAGTAGAGAAAATCTGGCCCACATGCATGCTTTGTTTGACCATAGAGTTTTTTTAAACAATATTTTAGCCTGGATATACACTGATATGGTTTGGCTGTGTCCCCACCCAAATGTCATCTTGAATTGTAGTTCCCATAATTCCTACATGTCATAGGAGGGACCCGGTGGGAGGTAACTGAATCATAGGGGTGGTGACCCTCATGCTATTCTCATGATAGTGAGTTCTCATGAGATATGATGGTTTTATAAGGGGCTTTTCCCTGCCTTCACTCTGCATTTCTCCTTGCTGTCACCATGTGAAGAAGGGTGTGTTTGCTTTCCCTTCTGCCATGATTGTAAGTTTCCTGAGACCTAGTCAGCCACGCTGAACTGTGAGTCAATTAAACCTCTTTCCTTTATATATTACCCAGTCTCGGGTATGTCATTAGCAGCATGAGAACAGACTAATATATACACTTTTTTGTTAGCCACAGTTATCATCACTCTCTGCCCCTAGATTTCTCCTTGTTGATACTGGCTTCTGAAATTATTTGCCTTTTTGCCCTATGAAAGAATGAAAACACATTCCAGAATTATACGGATCGGCTAAGGAAAATGACAGTAGGAAGAAGGTAGAGGTTTAGGCTACACAGAACAGCTACCTGGAAAAATGGCACATGAAGTAGACCTGCTGTGAAAAGTCAGGCTTGGTTTATCATGTTGAAATGTTGCCAACGATTAACATTGTAAAGACACAGGAGGAAGGAAAGTAGGAAAAGTATTCAGGAAACACTGATCAATCCAGTTTGGTAGAGATGAAGCATGAGGCCAGTTCTGTTTCATAACTGTCCAACTTTTTCATATACCAGTATTGAAAACACATAAATCCAATCTATTCCCAAAGCCTTTACCTTAGGTGATATCCAAGACCCCACCTTCTTTTCAAAAAGATAGAAGAACCTGCACACTTCAGTCTCCCATTGGACATGATCACTTTTCTATCTGAATGAAAGAAATCAAGTGAGAAAAGACATTCGGGGTCATTCATTTCTTCCTTCTCTAGTAAAGAAAGATGAGGAGCCAATGCTCAGAAGTGCAAAGGAGACGTATTCAACAGGGTATAACTAGATCTAGTGTGCATTTTAACATTTGAAATACACATTAAAATTGATGCATTTAAAATGAACTCATGATATTATTCAACCATAAAAAAGAATGAAACCATGTCTTTTGCAGCAACATGGATGGAACTGGAGTCTATTATCATAAGTGAAACAACAGAGCAACAGAAAGTCAAATACTGCATGTTCTCATTTATAAGTGGGGGCTAAATAATGGGTATACATGGACATACAGTATGGAATAATAGACACTGACGACTCGGAAGTGTGGAAGAGTCAGAGGCGGATGGGGAATGAGAAACTATTTAATGGGTACAATGTACATTAATTGGTGATGAATACACCAAAAGCCCAGACTTCACCACTACATAATATATCCATGTAACAAAACTGTATTTGTACTCATTAAATTTATACAAATAAATTAAATTAAAAATAAGCTCATGAACACCAGTCTATCTGCACCTTCCAACACTTTCTGAAAAAAAAAACCACATAAATTACATGGTATACTGTATACTCTGATGCTAAAAAATGAGTGACTATTTTTCAGCTAAGTATATATAAAAGAAGATTTGAATGTTTAAATTAATTGATAGCTGACCTAAAAAAAAATGGGCAATCAGAATTTTTCATTATTTGTCACTACCTAGCAAATGTACAACCAGAAAGGAATTCCACAGTGGAACTAGATTCCTGTCATCCTCCTGACTGCTATGGAATGTAAGAACATTGCCATCGTGAGAGCAGGGCTCTTACCCTGGGAATAGACTTCGCTTCTAAATTCCCCAATAGCATCATGGTAATACTGAGATAAAACCAACAATTACCAGCCAGGATGTCAGCCTCATCCATGGACTGGGTACTGAAAAGGATCACATGATCTGCTCTATGCTCTCTCAGGAGGCTCCACACTTGATCTCTGGAAAAAGGATCCAATCCAGTAGTTGGTTCATCTAAGAGCAAAATCTGCAGAGAATGAAGATACATAAAATATGTCTCTCATATTAACTACATCCAGATGATAGCATGAAAAACAATAAATACCATAAAATAATAACCATCCAGTCATTTTTCTCCAACATATTTCTATTTATAGTTAAACATAGCAGGCTCTCTCTTGATACATTACAATGAAAGCTCTATCATCTTTAGTGGTAAAAGAACTTGACATTTTGCAGACATTCAACCTGCATCCTTCCCCATGCATAATCTAACTTACTTGAGGATCTCCTAAAATGGCAATCCCAAAAGTCAGCTTTCTTTTCTGTCCTTCACTTAAATGTTTGGCAAGGTTATCTTGAATGTTTTGCATGTCCAATTCCAGTAATATTCGTTGTACCTATATGAGAAAATATACAACTTTTAAAATCCAAAATGGTTCATATTATGCTATTTTAACCGCTCATTAAAGCAGTCGATATTTGTTATGGGACCTCTTTGCCTAAATTTTATTCATAACAAGGCATATAAATCATTGAAGAGAATTCTGCGGTCATGATTTAATTTGGTAAGTGGTTGGCAGGTCAGTTAATCCAAGCATGCCCTCTACCTCTTGTTCCACTTCCTGTGGATGAATCCCTTTTATTTTAGCAAACAGGCTGAGGTTTTCCTTCACGGTGAGTATGTCAAATTGAACATTGAATTGAGGACAGACACCAGTTATCTTTCTGATTTCCTCCAAGTCTTGCATTTCAGAGAGATTTTTATTATAGATGGTAACTGATCCTAAGAATGGAAGTTAAAAATAAAATTGGCAAGATAATACATTTTATTAATATTCATAGATTTCATTTAAGAAAATATTGGCATATATTCACAAATGTCTAAAATGATTTGTGAACAACTACTAATTATTCTTGACATAAATATATGCTTACAGAACTGCACATTTGTGAACACAGTTTGTGAACAACTACTAATTATTCCTGACACAAACATATGCTTGTAGAACTGCACATTTACCCGGAAATATCACACGATGGAATAAATAAAATAATTTTATAAATATTGCAGAAATATGAAGCATATTCAAAATTATGTAGCTCTTGGAAACAACTTTAGATAAACATTATTTCTCTTAAGCCATCAAATTTAAAATTTAAAATGAAAGGCATATGCTTGACCTCATTTTATTATAAGACATCTTGCCTTTGAGAAATTTCTTCTTGCTCACCTTCTGTTGGAACAGACAATCCATTAAGAATATTTAGCAGTGAAGATTTGCCAGCTCCACTGTGACCCAGAATTGCCGTGATTTGACCTTCATATATGTCAAACAGCAAGCCTATTTTTAGAACAAATTATTAGAACAAATTGTTAACAAATTATTAACAGTATAAACTGAGGGGCATTAGACCAGTCTGGTCCCAATATAGAACAAGGCTATTTAGTTTAGTGGTGTATTTCTCAGCATTTCAATACTTTAAAATACACAATGTTCAATATTTTCCTAACTGCCAAAATAATATGTGACAAAACTGTAATAATTAAAATAATATGTCACTGGTGCAGGATATAGTGACCAATGGAACAGAATAGAAGTCTAGTGTGGACCAAAGTAAATATAAAAATAGAGAGTAATCAAATGACCTTTCAAACTTATTAAAAAGATGGTTTATTTAATGAATAATTTTGGGACAACTAAACAAATAAATTAACAAATTGTATGTTTGTAAATTTTTTTTTTTTCTTTTTTTTTTTTTTTTTTTTTTTTTTTTTTTTTTTTTTTTGCGACAGGATCTCATTCTGCCACCTAGACTGGAGTGCAGTGGAGCAAGTGGAGTAATCACAGCTCACTGCAGCCTCAATCTCCCACGCTTAGGCAATTCTCCCATGTCAGCCCCCTCTAGCTGAGACTATCGGCCCACGCCACCACACTTGGCTAATTTTTGTATTTTTAGTAGAGACAGGGTTTCGCCATGTTGCCCAGGCTGGATTCAAACTCCTGAGTTCAAGCAATTCACCCACTTTGGGATTTACAGGGATGAGCCACCATGCCTGGCCTGTAATTTTTAAATGGAAAGTATACAGTGTTTTCCAGGGTAAGAGGGAAGTGATACTGGCTGTTGGGACTGACACATAGTAACTGGAAAAATAAAATAGAAGCCTCAGTTTTCTCATCTGCAAAGTGAGAGATGTATTAATATGTCTTTCACAGGCCGAAATGTAAAATGGTACATGTAAATCACTTAGCATAGTTTCCAGCACATACCAAGTCCTCAATGAAATCTAAGTGTTTATTGCTATTGTTGTCATTGTCATTACTATTCATTATGTATTGCTTCTGGGAGTATGACTTTTTATAATTCTCACGGGAAATAATTTGAAATATGAATCAAGAATCTTGAAAGTATGCTTCCTTTGAATAATTCTGCTTCTAGAAATTTATATTCAAGAAACAATTTACGACATTTACAAAGACTGAACAAGGCTGTTCATTCTAGTATTTTTTATTACACTAAAAATTGGAAACAAACTGGATCTCATACATTGGTGTGTTAATAAGTTAATCCCGGTATCCATATAATGGAATGCTATTTGGCTTCTGAAAAATAGGCCATAGATAAAAGATTTCAAAAGTGTGTCCCAAATGTGCTGCAGATGTGCTCCAGAAACTAACTCCATGAGGAAGGAAGAGGAGGCTAAGGGAATGCAACCACTTCCCTGGTTTCCCAAAGAGCAGCTACACTTGGTTTGAATTTATATTCACATTTTTAATGTATTGATGTCCAATGCTTTTAATTTTTTAAGGTGCTGCTATTTTTAAAATGAACAAAATGCTTAAAGACGTTTTCTGTTTAGACAAAAAGAAGTTCATGACTTGATGGAGTGCAAAGGTAGTTCAAAATGTGTTCCAAAACTTTAAGTAATTGATTTAAAATTATTTCAATATATCCTGAGCTAAAATTAAAGAACGAAATCGCAGATCTAGATGGTATTTGATGAGAAAAACCTAGAGAGAGAATAAAATTGCTCATACAAATACATTAAATTCTCAAAGACCTAATCTAAAAGTAATGAATAAGACTGAATTAAAGGATGCTGCATTTATTACAAAAAACATGCAATATAAACACAATGGTTGGAGAACTCTCCACTTCTGGAAGGTTCATGGCTCTTCTTTTTCAGCTTTTAAGGCTTCTTTTATAAAAATCATTTTTATTCTTCATAAAAATCATTTTTAATAAAGCAAATTGACCTCCATGAAATGTAGCTACTCACTTTGATATTTGCTTAAATGTCTGTTATAGAAAACTGTATGTTAGAATATTTTGTATCAAAATGTGTTTTTTCATTTCAAATGATAAATTATGTTTGTAATAGGATATTGGCTTGTGAAATTTAATTCATAGTCAATGGTTTTATTCATCTTGCTTCAGCTAACCTCACCAGTACATATAAACTATGTAAATTCACCAGCTAGTATAAAACCTTTATCAGATTTCAGTTTAGATGTTCTTTCCTCACAGTGACAATATATAAAATATCGTTCATAGCAGATTAATCTTTAAAAGCAAAGATAAATTGCATCTTTCATTGTATACCATTTTTATAAATTAATAGATCCATGCAATATCTGGAAGAATTTTACAGTGTATTCTTAATCATGATTAATGTCCAAGTGATAGCATTGGGTTATTTGCATTCTTTTTTCTTTTGCTTATCTATATGCTTCAAATTTTTTCACATCGAATTGTTTCCCTTTTTTATAATAAAGAAATAAGTGAAAGAATGAAATGTTTCAATGGTTTTCTTTACCTTTCAATGCTTCCACTTTTCCAGACTTTCCTTTATATTCCTTCTTAACATTTCTGATTCTGAAATAACAAAAAGGGTGCTTACTTAGCCAACACAGAAGTGAAAATAGCACAAGCCATTAATAGCCCTAGTCATAGTGACAGCTGCAGCCAACCACTTTATGTGAAATAAGGGATGGCATAGTCTATTCAGAAAGAAAAAGACCTATTTTTGATTAATCATTTCCCCTGAGGTAGAAAATAAAGGAGTCTCTCTCAAGTTACAATTAAACTACTAGTATTTTGTCTAGAAAAGTAGAATGCTGTGTAATTATCCTCACTTTCTTCCTCGAGTTTTAGAATAGTTGGTTCTTCCCCCTGTTCAAGATCAGCTCATTTACCTGGGGCCTTGAACTGGCATCCTGCATCTTCTCCACGTCTTGCTTATTAGTTTATTAGTCAGACACTCTAGCACCTGCATCTTTTACAGTCCTCCCTAATAGCTCCTCTTTGAACTCAGCTCTACTTTGGACACAATTTGATTTCTCTCCTCCCTGTATTGTACAAAATTCTCAAAATAAACTTGCCATTTTCACTTCCTGACCTTTAATTCCTCTTCAATTGCACTCTGATTTCTGAACTCACCACTCCAGTGAACCACTTCATAATGAAATCATTAGTGACCTCCTAATTATAAAATACAACAAATACTTTTCCATTCTTACGTATTGGATTATGAGTCACTGTTGATGACTTTCTCTTTGTTAGTGGTGACTTAATTGCTTTGCTTCTTATTTTTCTAAATGTTCCTTTTCTGTTTCCTAATAAAGTCCTCTTACTTCATCAGACACATCAGCTTGATGTTCCACAGGGTTCTCCATGTATATGATGGATCTTCTCATTTGAGACTCTCTCCAGAAGTTTTCTTATTGGATTTTTTGTTTTAGCATCAACCTAATATTGACCCCACCCTTTTCATTGATCTTTAGACTCACACATCTAATAGTTTGCTGGATAGTCTCTCTCTGTCTCTCTCTCTCTCACACACACACATACATACACACACACACACACATACACACACACACACACTGCTCTTAATCAGTAGTTGTCAATTGTGAATACACATTAGAATTCCAAAGGGAACTGATGCCTGCAAACAACCCTCAGAGATTCATATTATATTCACATTAATTACTTCTCTGCAGAGTTCACAGAAAAAAGATTCACATTAATTGATCTGGGGTGATGAGTTTTTCATGGCAGTAAAGGCTGAGGATTGGGATATATCAAATGTTCTTCCAAATGAGTCTAATGTGAAGCCAGGTTTGAGAATTAACTGCTCTAAAACTGCATATCCAGAACAGACTTCATTGCATTGTCACCTAAACCCATTCCCCCATCACGCTGGATCTTACTTGGCAGCATGGACATTCAACTACTCTCTTCTTGATTCTCACTCAGATTCATCACCCATCCAACCTGGTATCATTTTTGTAAAATTTAACTCTAAAATAGTTCAAGTCTTGGGTCCATTTAAAAAATTTATATTTTAAAATCCATTTTATTTACTCTTCAATGTTCCTCATCAGCCTCAAAGGGAAAGTCAAGGCTACTTTGTACCACATGAAGCAGCCACTCATGGTCTGTCCAGTGACATCTTTCGGCATCCTCGGCCTTATGTTTTATGTGTCAGGATCACCAAACCACCATTTATATCCTGCATAAAGTTTAGCGCTTTTTGTCTTTTCTGCTGGGTGTGTCATACACATATACGTATACACATACACATGCACTCACATGCACATATGTACATATGCACAAATGAACCTTTTTATCCTTTTTATCTGTCTTATTCTTAAAAGAATGTTCATTGCAACATCATTTGTCAGAGCAAAAAATGAGAAACAACCAGAATATTCTTTAATGTAAGAAAAGATAAATAAAAATGGTAGACTCGTATCTTAGAATATTTTTATATAAAAATTAAAACCAATGCATTAGCCCATAGTTAGCACTATGAATAGATCCCAAAAAGCAAAATGCTGAGTGTAGAAGCAATATGTAGAAACTTAAGTACAGTCTGATACTATTTATAGATTATAGGAGATAAAAACACACAGAGTTATATCACATATATCTATATCACATATTGTTTAGAGCTATAAGTGTATGGTACAATATGTAAATATATGAATGGAAAGTGGGAACACCAAATCCATTATAAAGGTCAATCCTGATGAAGCAGGGAGAAAATATTTTAAAGAGATCAAAAGGGACTTTAAATAAACATATAATATATCCATCAAAAACACAAAGCAAATATGACAATAATGTTTATATCTGTTTAATATGACAATAATGTTTATATCTGTTCAACCCGGATGGTGAATATGTCAGCTTTAAAAGCCTAAATTTATTCAGTAATTTTTAACTATTTAAAAGAAAAATAGATGTTCTCTTCTTCGATTTCCCTGAACTAGGGTAGTTAACACTTCTATTGACTAAATAACAGTATTTAATATCTCTATCCCTACATTTATCACATTGAATTTCATGTACCTATTTATCTTCTTCCCTAGGCTGTGTGCTCCTTGAAAGACAGTTTATTGTTCATCTTTGCAGCCCTAAAGATTAGTAAAGAACCCAGCAGCAATATGTTTGTTGAGTGAATGAATTAAGCAAAGTTAAAAGGTGATGAGTCTCACCAGGTATTTTATTTCAGCATTTCTTTGTAAAATGGAATCCCTGTTGAAGTGAAACTTTAATGTTTTGTTTTAATAAAGAAAATTCCATTTAAGAGGAGCTGGTGTTTCCGGATTTTAGACATGAAATCAGACATTTACATTTGGGGCAGTCAGACATCCTACCTGTGTTCTGGGAATATTGCCTGAATGGTCTATAGTTACAGGAATGCACATATGTGCACACAGTTGCCCCCAGAGAAAATGTGACTTAGGGGTTATGAATGAGGAAGAACCAGTTGTGAATAAAAACTGTATATTTTTACAAATCCAGAATCATGATTCTGGTTAGAATTCTACAAGCTTTCATCCATATCCCTGATACATAGAGCTTAAAAGTTACATATCCTGTAAGCTCTACATATCTTAGGGGAAGAGTTCCTTTGTATATAAAGCGCTTGTATATAAAGGAGAAGAGTTCATTTTTATATAAAGCAGACCACATAGGAAGAAAAAAATCAATGCCTTAGTGCCTTTTATATTCATACAAAATAGAATTCACACGTTGGAACTGATTGGAAAAGATTTGACATTGTCTAGAGGTGGGGAAGAGTAATGATGCTACTAAGAAATGATCATTGTGAAGAAAGAAGAGATAAAACTTGTGGATTGGAAACTGCATCTACTGTTGGATGGTCGAAAGGCAGTTTTAGAATGCCTTGCAGCCCCAGACCTGCTTTAACAGTCAGTGAGTGTGTCCCACCTTGTCATTAAAGAGCTACAACATTGACTGCCTAAGCCTACTTTCTCGCTTTGGTGTGGATCAGGGGTGAAGTGCCCCACAATGGAGCCAAAAGCTTTAGTGAATAGTACTCGCATCAAATGACTTTCTTTCCCTGGTTTGCCTTGGGTCTCCACCTGAGCTAAGAATCCAGACCAAGTGACAGGTATGCCTAGTCAACATTGTATACATTGGCTAGGTTTGGAGGCACAGTGGGGGTGTGGGAGAAGAGGGGAGAAGTCAGGGGACAGTGGGGGTGGAGGACATTTTACTTTCTCTCCTAGGCCACTAGGCAGCAGTAGAAGAACAAAGAAAATTTTGAGGTCTTTGTAAGTAAAAGATTTTGTTAGAAGATTGGATCTGAGAATTACTATAATTTGAATAATAATATAATACAATATGATTTTGTGCCCTCAACTGGTAAAGAAGGATTGATGACACTATAACTGAGTTTTACAGAATTATTCCTCACTTTGCCTTTCTTGTTTGGATGGATATTTTCTATAGAGCTGGTATACTCCTAGCTAGAGCAGAGGAAGGGCTGTTGCCCCACTCAGAAAATTTAAATGGAAAACTGGTTAAGAACTAGATGGAGGAAGCCTAGGTATACGGGTTAGGTCTCTTTGTCTTGGAAAGATTTCACTTCCTAGCTATGGTTCTCTATTTATTCATTTTCTTTTGCCTCCTGACATCTCAATAGTATGTTAAGAGCATAGACTGTAGAGCCAGACTATCTGGATTACAATTCCAGTTCTCCACCTGTGAGTTGTGTGATACTGGGTAAAAGGCTTAAGCTGTCATTACTTCACTTTTTGTATTTTCAAAATGGGGAAAATAAAGATACCTGCCTCATAAGCTTTTTGTGCGAATTATGTGCAAATCAGGTACATAGTCAGCACTAAGTAAACATCTGTTAATAAATAAACGATTGCTATTTAAAGCTCTGATTCATTAACTTTGTACCAAACTTTGTAGAAAAATCTACAAAGCTATTTTGAAATCCATGATACTTGGGTTCAATTCCAAAACTGCTGAGTTAGAATCCCTGGCTAAAAACAGATATTCTAACTGTTCCTCATACAATTCTGTTATATGCTAAATCTCATAACAACCCTACAAAGTCAATATTAATCTTGTTTCATAGAAGACACTGAGACTCATAAAATTTACTCATTTTTCCGAGATTACACATCAAATGAGAGACGAGAGTATTAGGATCTAAGAATTTCTGATTCAGAATTTCTTACTTCTTCCAACTTACCGTATAAAGCCAGATGAAATCACAGAGAGAGAGGTTCACAGAATGAAAGGAGCAAGTATAAAAGAGAGGTAGGCACAAGAGAAAGAGGCAGAAAGGGGGACAAGATAAAGTGTGGGTGGATAATATGATATGGAGCTGATAATCAAGGAGAATTTTCCTTTCAAGTAACAGAAGAAATTGATGGTGATGGAAATGGAGCAATTCGAAGTAACATTGACAAAAACAAATATCTTCTCCTTCAATATTTTGCCTCAAGCTCACCCTGATGCTCTTGGTTAATAATTCTTTAGCCTTGTGCTCATGTATTAGTATTAATTATAAGTGTGATTACCTGATGGCTTCTTTTCCTTGGAATTCAGGAGCTACTGGTTCAAAATAATCATCAGAGGGATGCTCAGCATCAATTTCTTTCTCAATAACCTTATTATCAGTCCCTTGGTGTTGGAAACAAGATGATGAATTCAAGAAAAATAATGGAGAATAACGGCGCTCATCTCCATCTAAGTAATCAAGAGGCAACAAAATAGGATCAGTAATAGTAAAACAATGAGCAAAGAAGCCTTGCTCACAACAATGCAGAATGCCTTGAAGTTTTAAGCATCATAGAGACACTTTTTTCTTCTAAAACTCTATTTATTATTAAGAAGAAAACTTGATAATGAAGTAAACAATCAGAATTCAAAGGAAATAACATATTGCAAAAGTTAAACAATATAATACAGCTTTCAACAAAGTATAAATAAAATGTGATCAAAAAAAAGAAAGTCAATATGAAAGTGAGGTTCAAATAAAATATTAGGTGTATGACCAGCTGAGTTGGACACCAGCTTTTCCCTGATCAAGACATTAGTACAGATCTTAGAGCCTCTGTTGTCTACATCTGTAGAAAAGGACTCCCAACAAGGAAACCCATTATATCTCCCTTTTTTTCCAGTCTTAACAATGGGTTGCCTTATCCTTGATAATAGGCTCATGAGAAAGAGATTTGTATCACCCAATAAACATATTTATTAAAAATTTTTTTAATGTCGTCTAAAAGGTATTTAGGTGAATGAATGAAACCAAATATTTGGGAAAACACAAAACCTTAGCATAGTACATAAAAATAATTGTAGACATGTTTGTGAACTTAAATAATTTGACCATAGCAACATAATTGAACATAATATTGAAATCTATATATTCTTGCTTAGGCATGAATACATGGAGAAACTGTATTTGTTTAGAATACATTTATAGTAACATTTTAAATATATTTTTCCAGTTTAAAAAATGAGGTTGAATTTATTATTAAGGACCTTCACATATCAACCAGAAGTCACAGAAAGACAGGAATATGTACAAGTAAATACAGAGAAAACCTATAAGACAACCTTAAATAGTGGAAGGAAGGTATAAAATAAGAGGATAAACAAGAAGATTGTGCCAGAAAAAAAACTTTCTGATTCTAGAGTGTGTGAAAAAATTCTGGGCTTATGTGAAATTTTTGGTTGTTTGCAAGATAATCTAACAGGGCAATCAATATACTTCTGCAAATATGAACAATATATAAAACATTTTGAGAATGATGCTGAACAAATATTCATGAGAAAGCACTTCCACAGTATAATGGCCTCCCACCAGCCAAACAACCATAAGAACTAATTTATTTTATCTTGTTCTGACACAAGTCCTAATATGACCCTTTCAAAACACTTTCAGGGATCCATGAATACCTAACATTATTTAATTACCACATAATTATAAGATGTATTATAATTATTGTTGTCATACAATTATACTGTTATAGTAAAGTCATAAGAATTGTTTTTACATAAAAATTTCATTAGACCATTAAAAACTATGAAGTAGAAATAATGAACTTATTAGTTTGAAATGGGAAATATTTAATATTCATTTTAAAAGTCTATATAATCTTAAAAAATATATTCAATGTAATTAATAACTATAGAGGTCAGAGAAAAACTCACTATTACTTACAGGGTAAAATTTTGTCAAAGTATAATGCCAATAGCAAGTAGATGAAACCATCCAAAAGCAATATGGAAAAAGTTGCTATCATTGTATATGAGTCTCCTGAAGGGTCAGGAAAAATTACACCATTCAAGTTATAATCCAGTTTGATAATCTAAGATTCAAAAAATAAAAATAAATGTTTAAAATAAATAAATAAATAGCTTGGCATAGCAGCAAAAAGTATTAATTTATTAACTAGCTTTTTCAAGAGGCACTTAGTAGTTACTAGTCAAATATTTAATTAAGTAAATAAAGGTATTGGTCAAAATATTTCTATTTTACAGTGAAAAATAATTAGAAATAAACATGTATTTAATAAAAACAATGTTCTAAGTATAAGAATTTAAATTATAATTCATTTGTTTGTTTTCATAAAATCATTGCAATATTACAAATATCTATTCTGGGCAACAAAGGAAATACAAGTGTTGGAAAGAATATAATAAATTTTTGGAAGCCTCTAATTAGATAAAAAGAGAACTTACCTCCTTTTCTAGTTATTATTTCAAATAAAAGTTTGTATTTAGAATTTTGCCATATAATAACAGCAACTATGTTCTAGGCACTGTTCTAAGTGTTTTATATATTATCCCATTTAATCTTCCTTAAAACTCCATCAGATAAGCAATAAAGCTTATAAAAATAGTAAGATTTTAACCTGAATTTTACATATGATAAAACTAAGGCACAGCAAAGTTGAGTAGCCAAAAGTGGCAAAGTGAAATTAGAACAGAGAAAGTCTTACTCCTAAGTCCAGTTCCTTACCCTGCACACTATACAGCTTCTCAGTCTATGTTAAAATGTTAACATTTTCATGATAAAGTTGAATTTATTCTAGGAATCCAAAATTGGGTCAACATTTGAAAATCAATCAATGTAATTCAACATAAAACAGATTAAATAGGAAAATAATGTGATCAATATAATAGACACAGAAAAAACCATTTGATAAAATATGATATCTATTCCTAATAAAGAAAATATCTTCACAAACTAAGAAGATGAATCTTCCTTAAGCTGATGAATTTCATGCACCAAGACCAACAATAAGCATCATATTTAATGGCACAACGTTGAAAGCTTTTATTCTGCCTGCATTTCTATTCATTATTGTACTAGAGGTCTGGACCTGTGCAGGAAAGTAGGAAAAAGAAATAAAAAGCATAAGGATTGCGATGGGAAAAATATAAGCCATCATTATTTGAAGACAGCATGATTATATATAATTCCAGTATAAAACTCAGAAAAAATATTGGGTTTAATAAGAGAATATAACAAGAATGCTGGATATAACACCAACGTACAGAAATCAGTTGCATCTCTCTACATTAACAACAAATGTTCAAAAATAGGAATTTAAACATAGATGCTATTTATAATAGCATGAAAAATATCAAAAGCGTCGGAACGAATCAAATAAAAACGTGTAAGACCTCTACAGTGAAAACTAAAACAGGCCAGGTGCATGGATCACACCTGTAATCCCAGCACTTTGGTAGACTGAGTTGGGAGGATCGCTTTTTTGAACCCAGGAGGTTGAGATTAGCCTGAGAGACACAGTGAGACCAACTCTCTACAAAAATAAAAAATGAGCCAGGTGCGCTGGTGTATGGCTATAGTCCTAGCTACTTGCGAGGCTGAGAAGGGAAGATCACTTAAGCCCAGGAGGTTGAGGCTGCAGTGAGCTGTGTTTGTACACTCCAGCCTGGGTGACGGCAAGATCCTGTCTCAAAATAAAAATAAAAATAAGATAATTATTAACGAAAATTGAAGATCACTTAAATGAATGCAAAGATATATTATGTTCATGGCTGAAAAAAAGATGACAATTTTCTTCAAACTGATCAAAAAATTCAACTGCATCACACTCTTAATAGCTTTGCATGGGCATCTAAGTGTGTGATTATGTAACTTGATAAGCTAATTCTAGAATTTACATCATTGCAAAGAAATTAGAATAGACAAGGCTCTCTTGAAAAAGAGATTAAAGAGGTAAAACTGTTACTGCCAGATAACAAGACATATGATAAAGCAAAACAATTAAGACAATGTGGCCACAGTGCAAGGATAGGCATTTTGGCCAATACATGATTGGTTGAGTTATAATAAAAGAAAGATTGCAATTCATTCAGGGAAAGGATAGTCTAGTTGATAAATTGAACTGGAGAAATTGGATATTTGTGTAGCAAAATTAATATTGTCTCTACCTATACACACACAAAAGTTATATTGAAATGGATTTTATATCTTAACGTAAAAGCTGAACCAGTCAATATTCTAGATAAACAGCCAGAAAATATATTTGTAAACTTGGTGTAGGCAATGATTCCTTAAATTGATTTTAAAAAAGCATTCTACATAAAATAGAAACTTGAAAAATTGGACTTTATCAAAATTATGTATCTCTGTTCATCACAGGTACCATTAAGAGAGGAAAAATGCTAGCAACAAAAAACGGAAAAATGTCGGATGTTCAACATGTATAAGGAATCCTTAAAAAGCAATCAGGAGAAGATAGAAAACTCAGAGGAAAAATGGGTCAAAGACCTGGATAGGTAGTGTAGAAAAAAGAAAATTCATAATCCACTAAGCATATACAAAAGCATTCAACGTCATCAATAATCGGGAAAATGCAAATTAACACTACAATGATATATCATTGCATAACCATCAGAATGACTAAAATGTGAAAGATTGACAATACTAAATCCCAGTGAAGTGTTAGAAAAACTGGAATTCTGAAACACTGTTGATGTAAAACTAAATTGATGCAACCACTTTGGAAAAATATTTGGTGGTAGCTACTAAGATTAGTATTTGTATACTCTCAGCCCCACTATTCTGTTTGTTATATTAACATAATGAACAGAATGGAATGTCCATATTCAGTAGGAAATGTGTACTAGAATGTTTGTAGCAGCTTTATTAAAAATGCTCAAAAACTAAAAATCATCATAATCTATCGATAAGAAAATTGATAATATATTAACACAATAGGATGCTACATAACACTACACTATAGCTACACAAAAACTATGCTGCCACCTAAAAACGTTACGTTGAATGAAAAAAGAGAGATTTTCAAAAATACACTTTGTGCAACATCACTCCTATGAAGTTTAAAATATGCAAAACCAAAAATTTTATTTAGGAACACATACTTAGGTGGTAATGAAAAGCAAAGAAGTGAATATCATAAAATTTTTACCTTTACGAAGGAGTGTTCTGAGGGGTTTGTGATTGGTGGTGACATTCTATTCCTTGATCTAGTTCATGGCTACTTCGATTTACTTTTTAATTATCTGTTAAACTATACTTGTGTTTGGAAAGTTTTTCATATTCATAGTTTATACAATAAAAATAGGTTTATATAAAAATTTTAATAAACTAGCAGATATTTTCATTATGTTAAATGAATAGTAATAAAAGTAAATATTTGTATATAGGAATACAACCTAGAAGAAAATACTTCAAAATAAAAATATATCTGAGAGGTGAAATCTGGAGGATTTTTTAAATTTAAGTTTCTTTGTGAGGTGACTTTTTTTCTACAATGTAATAATAACATTTTAAAGTTTAACTTTAGAAAAATTGCTTAGAATAAAAGTTCTTAGTTTGAGTAGTGCTGATCTTTCAGGGTATGAAGTTATCTACTTCTTTTGACATTTCAGTAATAAACCAATTAACTAGGCTCTTACCTGAGTCATTCCAGCAGTAAAGGCAAAAGGGCTACAAATACTCAAAATCCACCCCAGAGATGAAGGAAGTTGTTCATAAAATACAGTGAACCCCAGACATCCCCAAAAGAGGGTAAGGAGAAACACAACCAAATTGGTGAGGACAGCTTTCTTTAACAACACACTCATCAGGAACACCAAAGCTACCTGCAGGAGAGAGAAGACGTTCAACTGCTATAAAATATATTTAACTCACTGAGAATCATTGGCAGCCCAATCAAATAAGGATTTTTATGTCATGACAAATATTTATCAGTGAGAAAGTGGTGAAAATATTAAGGTATAATGAGTCTGTTCTTTCCTCAACTTCTTTTGAAAGAGGATCCTTATTTGTCCTACTCAAATGCAGGGCTTTTGTTGCTGAGGAAAGGGTGGGAGGAAAGCTGGAATAAGAGCTGAGGATAGGGTAGAAATGTAGACTTGGGTCTAAATTAATGTAATGAAGCTAAATTAGTGTAAGAAGGAGCATCTACATACTTTCTGCAGAAAACATCCTGGTGGGTGGAAATTAGAGGACCTTGTTCAGAGAAGGGAGACGGGAGCGAAATGAGAAGTGCATATGAGACAGAGTATTAGAGGGAGAAGAGATATTGTGATCAGCTATCATGTGATGGGCACCCTTAAGGGAAAAAAAAAATGGGGTCCACCCCTAAAAAACAACCTCAATACATACAGAAAAGCCTTTGATATTTTATAGTCAGCATCATTTTTTCTTTTTGATACATCATTTCATTAGTTCAGACCTTCATGCAAAAGGCAGGTCAAATTTTATTTGGATTACATAATTTTTTCACTCCATAGAAACTATCTCGAGTACACACAAGGACACACACATGCACACACAATGGACATGAAAGTAGTGATTGCAATAACCTACTAGGGCATTAATATTAGCTACATATAGCGAAGATCTAAAGCAGAGAAAGTGGTAATAAATGTATGAACTTACCAAAGATAAGCCATATAAGAAAAAGAGTATAAATATGACCATGAAGCCAGTCATGACTATAATTTCGGTGAATGTTATGACAATTGTAATGAATATGGAAATAATAAAGATGAAGCCAGCATAGATTAAACCCCAGGAGAGCCTAAATAAAGACAAAAAGTTATATAAATTATATTAACTTATTTACAAAATAGTTAATATACACAAAAGCATCTAAAGAACAATGTATGACTACCCTTGTACCTTCTAGATTAATAACTATACTGTAAATCCTACAGCAGAAGCTCATTGCATATCCTTTTTCAATCGCAATTCTCCTTCTTTATAATTGCCATTCATTTTCATTGCCTTTACCACATATGCACACAGAGATGATAATATACTGAACACTGCTACAGGCACCAACCAATAAAAAAGGATGCCAAGGCTAGGCACGGTGGCTCACGCTTGTAATCCCAGCACTTTGGGAGGCCAAGGCAGGTGGATCATTTGAGGTCAAGAGTTCCAGACTAGCCTGATCAACATGGTGAAACCCGCCTCTACTAAAAATACAAAAAAATGTAGCTGGGTGTGGTGGTGCATGCCTGTAGTACCAGCTACTCAGGAAGCTGAGGCAGGAGAATTGCTTGAACCTTGGAAGCCGAGGTTTCAGTGAGCCGAGATCACACCACTGCACTTCAGCCTGGGTGACAGAGTGACTCCATCTCAAAAAAAAAAAAAAAAAAGACAAAATTAATTAAGCTACTTATAAGCACAGCTGGGCCATTGTGCCTTGTTTGTACCTACATGTTAGGCAACAGCTCTGTGTGCGTGTGTTGTATATAAATAGTATGACTATTGTATTAAATAGTATCAACAATATCATATGTATGTATTCTTCTGCAAGCTGTCTTTATCAATCAGCATTAACAATATTATACATTGCTGTATAATATTTCATTATGAGAATATGACCCAAAATTCTGCTGCCCATAGAAATTTAGGTTGTTTCCATTTTTTTTTATTACAATGCCAAGAACATTCTCGTACTTGTCTTTTTTGAGAAAAATGTACAAGAGTGTTTCAAAGCATTTTGTACCTTCAGCTTTGTTAGATATTGCCATACCATCCTAATTGTAGAATTGTAAGCAACTTAAAAGCCTCTGATCAATCAAGTACCTCTAAAAACACTGGGGCAGTTGATCATTTGACTATCCATGAGAATCTCAGCAGGCAGCACCTCCAGTCTCTTTCATAGTAGAAAATTGAAATTTCACAACTCTACTAAGCCCATTCTATTCTCTCTATTCCTACTTATGATTTCTTCACTTAAATTTGTATAAAGTATGCTGCACCCTTAAATATTTGCATGATTTTGCCTTAGAGGTGCTAGTGTTGATATTTTTATGAAGTGATTATTAAGAAAGAGTATTCAATCTTAGATCTAATAAGACTATAGCGTGTTTTAGACCAAGTGTCTCATTTTACAAATGAGGAAACTGCAATCCCTATTATTAGTTAAGGGATTTATCTAAGGTCACAAAATAAATTGGTAACAAAGTTCATGAAGACGTAGGCCTTATCTCTGTCAAGAGACCTTTCCTCTACTTAACATTGACTAATAAAACGAGAATTCAGTAGCTGAAGCATATAGCACAAGTATTAAAATCAGGACTTTGCATCAACATGTCCCAATAGAACATGTTTACACTGGATTTACTGGTTGACTTCTCTTTAAATTTCATGCCATTACAATGATTAAGCCTGTGTTAGAAACATCAGCATTTTTAAAAAACATATCACATTCTGTAAAGCCCACTTCCTGAATCCAGAAGGGAACTACTTTAGGTAGGAATTGAAAAACCACAGGATATGAAAATTACAAATGAAAGAAATTACCTAGAAATTGCCACTACTTAGAAAAAGGAACCACTTGCAGGGGTGGAGTGGAATAATAAGTTATAAAAACCATCTTGCTAAAAACAAAGCAATTCAGGCATTATACTTAAAGAATAAATACTGATTACATTTCACATTTATTACATTAGTAAAAAGAACTTGTCATAAAGTTTATTTCCACTAGATACCCTGCACTTAGTAGAAACATTTCAGAATCTTTTTTCTTCTTAGTTTTAAGGATGCATATACGAATTTATTTCGCTAAGTTTTTAGGTCGCATACATACTAAGAATCACTTATCCTGAGAATGAATTCACACCCAAATGTCCCATACCTTTCTGACTTTAATATAGAGTTGCTCATGCCTCCCTGGTCTCAGGTGACTGCAGGGACACTGTCCCATAGGACATGCCCTGGACAGAAAGCGGGTCCCTTTTACAGAAGTTCCCTCCTGACTCCATGGGAGGCTCTATGTACATTATTTTGTATTTCCCGAAGTTCCACTGCAAAAACTTCTCCTTCTCTCTTTTTTATTTGAAGACACAGGTTCCTCTTTTTCTAGCTTACAATTTATGTATATTAGAATTAAGATTCTCTCCATTAATAAAATATATTTTATAGAAAATTAAAAATTTACTGGACCATAGTTTCATTTCAGGTAACACGTGGCTCACAAGGAATTGTTCAATTCATAATTTCTCATCCATTCCAGGTAGTTCCAAAACTGTAAAGAGTATTTGCTTCATACAGGGAGTAGATAGAAAAAAATCTCCCAGGATTTAATGTAACAAATGTTATATTTCTTTTGGGGTAAAATTAATAAATTATTTTTCCTTTTTTACTTTCTCTAGGCAGACAGTATGAATTTTGTCACTGATAGTATTGCAAAAGCCTTTTGGAAGCTTGGAGCTTGTATGATTTGCATTCCTATCTGCTAATCTTACTTACTGATTATTTGCTAGGTCCTTCTTTTTTCTTTTCTTTTTTTTTTTTTTTTTTTTTTTTTTTTTTTTTTTTTGAGATGGAGTCTCACTCTGTCGCCCAGGCTGGAGTGCAGTGGCGTGATCTCAGCTCACTGCAACCTCTGCCTCCTAGGTTCCAGCAATTCTCCTGCCTCAGCCTCCCAGCCTCCTTCAGCCTCCTACCTGGGATTACCGGCACATGCCACCACACCCAGCTTAGTTTTGTAGTTTTAGTAGAGATGGGGTTTCACCATGTCAGTCATGCTGGTCTCGAACTCCTGACCTTAGGTGATCCGCCTGCCTGGGCCTCCCAAAGTGCTAGGATTACAGGTGTGAGCCAGTGTGCCTGGCCTATTTGCTAGGTCTTTATTTCTACTCCTAATTATTTGTCTTTATTATAATACAAATACATATCTATCTACCTACATACATACATGAGTGTGTGTGTACATATATATGTGTATGTATGTGTACACCTGCTCATGTATATATACATACGTAATGTATGTAAATATGTACATAAAGCACATATATATGTGTACACACATTCATTATTTCAAAGTCACTAAATTATATGTGGATTGGGGCAAGATATAAATATCAATATATAAAGCAAATGCCCTTACTAAGGCCTTCTTACATACCAGCCTTTGTGTTGTATGTCCTAGGTATATTGTGTGAGCTCTCTCATTTAATTCCAACATATAGTATTTACTTGCTTCAAAAAAATCTATGCCTTGTGGTCAAACCCCTGTACACAAGTCAACTTTTATAGGATTATAGGATTATACTCTCTTCAACATGAGAAAATCTGGAGAAATCTACTGTTAACTGTAAGGAGACCAGGCGAGCAAACAAGTTGCATTCAGGGCACTTGGGTTGGAGTCTCAGCTCCAGCACTTACCCTTCATCTCACATTGGGCAATTCTCTTATTCTCTTTGGACTTCATTTTCCTTGCTTATAAAACGAATGACAGTTCCTCTATGTCAGGGTTGGCTTAAGACATTCATGGCACAGAAAAAGTGCTCAGCACATTATAAGCACTATTTTGCATGGCAAAATTCAACAGACTAAATAAAAAACTCAGAACAAAAGAAAAAGTAGCCAATGCATCAAGTTTAAACCATGATGCTCTGCAACAATAACACTTTTTCACTGCTTCTTAATTTTTCTGTTTATTAACTTGTGCTACTTGAATTAGTCACTCACCAGAATGCTGAATCTTGGAGACCCATCACTTTCATCAAATTCTTAGACTTTTTTCTCTCTTTTGTTACATTGAGCGATATAAAATATACAAGTGGGGAGAAATGAAGCAAGAAGAAGAAAATAAATATCTCATTGTGAAGAAGATTTTTACTTATGAAAGGTAACGTCTTCATAGTTATAGCAGTAACTGACATCAACTCCTCCATCACAGGGTGATTGGTTGTGATCTAAAGTAGAGTTTAAACAAACATAATTATTATTTAAAAGATAGAAACTGGTGAACTATGAGTAAGCTCTGTGTATTTTACTAATGTCAGTTCTCCAATTTTTCTTACTATATTGTAGTTATGCAAGATGTTCCCAGTAAAGGCAACTGGATGAAGGCTACATGCACTTCCCTGTACATTGTATTTGCAGCCTCCTGTGACCCTACAACCACTTCAAAATTAGTTTTAAAACCAGTAACATTGGCTTTAAAGTTTTCAAATACATATGCAATGTGTTCCTTGGTCTGAATACCTACTTCATTATATAACCACAGGAAAATCTGATTATGTATCATTGCTATGGTTTGAAAGTGGCCCCTCCTAAATTCTTGTTGAAACTTAATTCCCATTGTGATGGTATTAGGAGGGAGGGCCTTTGGGGTAGTGGTTGGGTCATGAGGGTGGAGCCCTCATGAATGGATTAGTGCCTTGTAAAAGGCTAGAGGGAACTAGCTGAGGCATTTTGTTTTGCTCTCCGTTCTTCCATCATGTGAGGACACTTAGTGCTATCTATGAGGAATGGACCTTCACCAGTCTTTCAGCCTGCCAACACCTTGATCTTGCACTTCTCAGCCTCCAGAAATAAATTTCTGTTCTTTACAAATTACCCAGTCTCAAGTATTTTATTGTAGCAGTACAAACGGACTAAGACAATTATCTTTCATCAAAATCTTAAGGTCTCTGGAAGTAATTGACATTAATTAGTAGAATTTTTCAATCAAGCACTTACTTCTATAATGGCAGTATTAATAGCTGTTTGTAAAGCCACAAATCCTCTATTCCAGTATTTGGTCAATTTACATGGAAACTCACCATATCCATCCCAGCAATGAGCTGTAAGCACAAAGAAAAGCACAGCCAACATTATGGGATGAGGGCAGTTGGAGAATATGAAACAAGTATTGGAAAGAAAACAATCTAGAGGAGACTCTACCAGTAAACTTTTTTGGTGGTGGTGTTTTGTTTTCGTTTTTGTTTTTGTTTTTGAGATGAAGTCTCACTCTGTTGCCCAGGCTGGAGTGCAGTGGTGTGATCTCAGCTCACTGCAAACTCCACCTCCTGGGTTCATGTGATTCTCCTACCTCAGCCTAACGAGTAGCTGGGAATATAGGCACAGGCCACATTGCTAGCTAATTTTTGTATTTTTAGTAGAGACAGGGTTTCACCATGTTGGCCAGGCTTGTCTCCAACTCCCGACCTCAGGTGATCCACGCACCTCGGCCTCTCAAAGTGCTGGGATTACAGGCATAAGCCATCATGCCTGGCTCACCAGTAGACTGTTAACCACACAGAAAAAGGAAGAAAATACATGAAAGCTTTTAATAAGGCAATTTTATTCTTGCAGACCACAGCCTGCTTAGAAAGTCTTAGAAAATAAAAAGGAGATGAAAGCAAACACTCTGCTCCAGCCATAATGGACTCCTTGTTTCTTGACATTCTCCAGGGCCTCTCGTCAATCTATTCTCCAGGCTATATCTGGAGTGCTCCCCTAATCTTGGAAACCAAATTACATTTTTGCCCTGATTAAAGTGACTCAGTGGCTATTCCTTGCCTAGATTTACAAGATGCCACAGGAGGTAGCACTTGAATGACTTCAGCTTCACTCTCCCATTACATTCCTTTTCATGTTCCTTGTTCAGCTATACTGCTCTTCTTCCAGATATAGGAACAGATGTCCTTTCTCACCTCAGGGCTTTTACAATTACCTTTCTTCTATCTGAAACACAATGCTTCTAGCACCTCACACCTGCTATTCATTCTGGTCTCCCTTTAAACATCATTTCCCCAGGTAAGATTTCTCTAATCCCACTATTAGGAACCCCTGGCCTGAGTGCCCATGAAACATTTTTTCTTGTACTTGTTCAATGTCTGTCTTTGCTGCTAAACTGGAATCTCACCTGAGGCTGGGGCCTGTCAGTCTTGGTTACTCATGTGCCCTTTGACACATGCATGTGCGTGCTCAAAACATACATATTAGGTGACTCTACAATTTTTGCAGTCATCCTGTAGCAGGAACATACGATTGACCTTGAAATAAGTTCAGTAATGGAATGGGCTTTCTTTATTTTCTCATGTGTCATTGAAAGCATCTCTGTTGCCCACCCTCACCTGTTCTTTATGCAGAAAACACAAAAAATGCCATAATATATTTGATATGGGAAGTCACCTGAGAAATCTTCTTCTTTCCAAAGTGGAATGTTATATCCCTGGAAAAATGTTAACTTATAAGAGAAAGTTTCATTAAAGATGATTCCCATAGCATATGGAAAGTTTTCCAGAAGTATTTCATTCATGTATGTTTTATTTGGTGCCCCAATGACACTTGTTCCTGTGAATTACAAGGTAAAAATAGACAGAAAATTGTAACAGAGTTTTGCCACAACATAATGTGATATTCAGCTGTTTCCCCATATAATTTCATTAGACTTAAAATCATTTTCCATTTAAATCAAACTTGAACCCAAATGCGAGGGGGGAAATTTTCTTTTAATGGTTTAGATTCTACAATCAGAAGACATGCATAAGAATTACATGTTTTCTTTTCATAATGACAAGTATCAGGGCAAGTTTTAAGTACATAAAAAAACATTGTGCCAGATTAAGTATGCATAAGAGAATCGGAGTACAAAAACAGAAGTAATTGTTGTAGTTACTATACAGTCAGGGATTCCTTATTTCAGATTTACTGAAGCAAAGACAATTTACATGACCTTTGCCTTCTGCAGAAAACAAGATTTTTAAAAAGTGACTCTACTTTCAACAGCTGGGAATTTCACTTGTCAGGAATGGAGGATTAAAGAGTAAATAGCCAAACTGAACCCAATTTGCCCATGAATAAAATATGCATTTTGCTTATTTTGGTTACATCATAATGATCTCATTCAGAATAAAGACTTTTAAAGATGTTTACTGATTGTACTACATTCAGAACAGAATAATCATCAGATTATTCATTTCTACTTTTCAAAGTTATGAAATTATTGTTCAATAACCGTGACCTATTTTATTTATTTAGATGTTTTTCTCCTGAGATACAAATCTTAATCATTGTATGACATGTTAAAAACACACACAATTTTCAATGACTATATTCCTTCTAGATACTATCCTGCAAATCTAAAAGTATAAATCTGGGTTTAGTTATATTCCAATAGAAATATAGACCCCCCTAAACTGGACTCCCATCAAGCTGAAAATATTTCAAAGACTAATTGTTGTGGGAGAAAGCAATAACCTAACCAGATTTGTATGCTATTTTAATACTTAAGTTATTAGCATAACATATGGCTGTAACTTCAAATTAATGTGTAGACAACTTATCAATAGTATATAAACTTCTATCAGTAATTCTTTTTTTGCCATGAGTACACCTACCTTTCAAAAGAGGAGCAAGTGCTGTTTTATTCATTATCTGCTGGGTTAAATTAGATATTGGTGTATACACAACCTTTAAAGAAGAGCTATTAAATTTATCTACCCTTCCCAGATTCTGAGGAGCCATTCCAGGAAACTGGACATTTCTCATGGAACTGGAAAACAGAGCAATACACAGTCCTAGAAGTATTGAGAGTCCCCACTCCTGTAATGCATAAAAAAAGAAAAATAAGGAATTAAGGTTGCGTTCACTTCAAGATCTCAGTCAATACCAAATACTGTTGAAAACAAATTCCAGTTGTGCTATACAGTTATGTTCTCTCTGCTCTCCAAGCCTCTGAGCATGGAGAATCAAATGAAAGATAAATACTAAGACAGTAGCCACATTTATCATTCTCTAATACTAGAACAAAACTTTTGCACTAAATCATGAATTCCTGCAGAAGCCCTCATAGAAACTAATGGAGTGAATAACAGGATAATAATCTCTATATGCATGGACAGCTGACTATAGAATTTATAAGACATGGAGTATCCTAGATAGAGTTTATGTTGGCAAATAGCAGTATTTTTGCCAGTTGTCATATCCTTGTATTGTAAACTAAAGAACGTGAAAAGGAACTGGCTGGTGGAGGCTACTAATATTGCTGTTCACCAGTGTCAATCATCATTACCTCTTTGGCACCATGGTAGACTACATTCTCAGCCTACTGAAATTAAGTGGAACCAAATGATTTCCTGGCCCACCGGATGTGGGCAAAAGTGATATGTACCACTTCCAGGTCTGGTTCATGGACATATACAAATTTCTATATTCTCACTGTCTTGGTCCCACTGTTTCCTGATGTTCTGACTGAATGCAGAGGATCCTCTAGAGGTCTTCAAGGTCCAGGATGGTGGCGGAGGCCCTGGATGAAGCCTAGGTGCCTGAATGATTGTGTAGAGAAGATTTCTTCACCCACCCAACCTACTTTACTTCCACTCTCAACTTTCATTAGACCATGAGGAGTTAAAAATAAACATTTGCTGTGTTAAGCCACCGAGATTTAGGCTAGTCATCTATGATTAGCCCACCTGCTTGATGCAAACTGACTATCAGTGGTGTTAGTTGATCATAATTCTTAAAAACAATCTTTGTGTAGAAAATTCATGTCCTTGAAAATAAATCCACAGAATTAAAATGTCTCCATTTCTCCTAGCAACATTTTTTTTGTACTTCTTGGCTATAAGTGTATGACATTTGGTAGTAGCTCTAGCAGTTGCTATAATTTATCATATAATTAAATGTTCACTTAATCTTTTTATATGAGTAATTATCTTAGTCTTTAATTATGTTATTCTTCAGAGACTGTGGTGAGTCTCTCAATTCAACAAACGTAACTAGAGAGAACTGTAAAATCAATAAATCCCATTTGCTAGTCAAGAGAGAACATAAGAGAATCAATAGGTATCGAAACACTGTAAGAGCGCTAACTGTGGAAAGAGACAAATTCTTAAACATACCAATAAGCTCTCTCTTTTCATCCTCCATTTCTTAAGAAAATTCTTGCACAGAAGTGCTTTAGTTTGCTGATACACACTTTTCTGTTTCATATTCATTTAGGCTATTCACTGAAGGAGAAAGTAATCATGGCGGAATACAACCTAGAAAAAAATAAGTGTAATAAGGGAAACCTTGATCATACTGTTGAGGAAAATATTTACTACCTTTAAAAAGTGTAAAAATAAATTTAAAATACTATTTCAATAATTTATGACTGTAAAATTTCACCTCAAATATTTCACCTTAAGCTTTTTAGGGGAGTGGGTGATGGTGGGAAGGCAGTGTGATTATCACAACTTTGCAATAAATTGGAGAACTGAAATGGAAAAGCTGTAATTCAAGTTCAGAACCTATAAGATAATTTCACATTTTTGGCGTTGTATAAGAGAACTTTAAGTACATGAATAGAGTAATTAAATTAATTTCATCCTGTTAATAGCAATATCTTGTTCTTTACATTTAAACAGAAATCTCAGAGCTAATCAAATTAACATCAAAAGTCTGATTACTTAAATTTGTCTGAATAATAAATTAACACTAGATACAACCTCAATAAAGTGTTTTCTTGTAACTTTACTTTCAGATGGAATCAACTTTTATCAAAAGAGTTAGGTTGTAAACCATAATCCAGTCTCAAACTACTTGAAACTTGGTTCTGAGATACAGGAAGAATAAAGCAATTTCTCTCAATTTTCTGAATTCAGAAGTCCCTGAATAACTCAGGAAACTACAAAATTAGTTTTAAAAGAAACAAAAAGAAATCATATGGGAAAGTAATTTTGTCCAAAGGTTTGCAAATAAAGAAACACAAACAATTTGTTTTAGTTTCTGTAACCTCAAAATGAAATTCTTTCATATTTTTACATCAAAATATTCAGATAATTCTCTAGCACAGAAGCAAATGTTTTCCATTTTTCTATGTCTTACTGTTACAATCTACACAATACAAAGTGGTTGGGAAGAAGCAGAAAAATTTAGTCTTAGGTCTTTAACATAAAACACGTAAGAATTGGGAAACATCTGAAAAACAGATTGATTTTAGCAGTGTCCACCCACATATTTGGCATAGCACAACAAAATAGAACTTTACTTACTGTCAGGAAAATAATAAAAAGCACTCGAGAAACACTGTCAAACCCAGTTCTCTGTTTGTCTAGGTAACGATTACAACTTCTTTATTGCTGCTTCTTCATTTTTTCTTTAAATGGGTGCCTACTCCAGCAGCTCTTACACAGCCTGGTTTCTGGAAAAGGGGTGTAGCCAGACCAAGCTGTACATGATGAACTTGTTTTGTTTTCTGTGTCTCTTTCTCCCTAAGCCAATTATTCTGCAAGGAAATGACTGTTCCGTGGTTGGTTGGGAATAAAAAAAACTCTGTGTTTGTTCACTTAGCCTTTCAACTACAGGGATAAGGGAGAAAATGGTAAACGAGGAAAGTGGAACTAGTTCTTCAGAAATGATGAGACCAAGATGGAGGCAGGAACAAGAAAGAGTAAAAACAATAATCAAACAAAGCAGTTAAATTTGTATGAGAAATCTGTATCTATTTTCTTTTCACGACTGATGAATAAACACAACTACCAGTTAGTTGTATATTTAACTAATTCAGACTAAGTTAGCAGAATACTCTGGAGCTCATTTTTTTTCCGAATAAAGCTAAGCAATCCATAGTATGCTTTGGAGAAACTCCTAGGATAGACAAATGAAGACTTTTCCACAAATTTATTTCTCCCACCCTCTTCACAGTGGATGAAGGATTTCATAATACACATGAACAAAATAAGCCACTGGTTTGCCAAGGTCTACAAAACATATAAAAAGATTCAGATAAATTTTTGTGCATGAAGACTATAACAAACTGAAATGTGTTCAATTCATATAGCATAGTTTGTCTCCCTCTGCTCTGCAAAGAGTTGCAAACTTTTCTTGACCTGCCACAGTGAATGACAAAACAGGAAACCAAAGTCCATGAATTGGGAAATCTCAAATATTTGACATGGCTCCCAATCCACAGATGTTAATGATCATAAAGCTGAGAAACTTTCTGGAGCAAAGCAGATAATTTAAACAACAACAACAACAACTACTACAGCTATGATACTATTATGTGTATACGTGTGTGTGTGTGTGTGTGTGTGTGTGTGTGTGTATAATTTCTCTCCTTGGCAATTACTTCTGTGTTTAAAAATAGTCAACAGTGACATGCCACTTCTTTTACATTGAAAACTGGCACAAACACTGCTAATATAGGTGTTCTAAAGTTCTCATGGGGTGTGGGAAGGGAGGTCATAAACACTCTTAACATTTGGTATTAGGAATACAACAAAACTCAAAGTTACTTTTAAACCACCTGTATTACAGTTAAGGTTTTTATGAACGTTTTTGTTGTTATCATTGTTTTAGACCCTTTATACTTTATTTTAGGAATCATTTTCATTCTACCATTCTTATAATTGTATTAAAATTCACAGCTACAATATCAATGATAATTATTTAGATCAAATATATTTATTAGTTTCATTTCTTACCATTGTTTCTTGTGTATGCTTTCTCTTCCTTTTTCTTGACCTGTTTCCTCTTATTTATTTTCATTTTGGGAGGCCATTCTCCTTATGTAATGTAACAATTTCCCCACAAATAGTGACCTAATATATACTCAAGTGCCCAGCCTCCAGCTAGAAGGGCATGGAAATGGTGGATAACATAGATCCCCAAATTGAATTTCCAATATATAGTCAAATTCAAAAAAGGAAGAAAAAAGATGAAGAATGTAAACAACAAAGGAAGAAACAAACAAACAAACAAAAACAGAAAGACAGGTTTCCAGGTGTTAAAACTGAGAAGGAATTTAAAGTTTCCCTAAAGTTGTGAGTGGCATTTCAGATACTCCAGCAGTTGAAGGATATATTGGACTGAAAATCAAACCTCAGGTGTTTTAATGACCCTCTGTCCTGAACTTGGTCCTTGAAACGTTGGTAAGCTGGAGTTCATATTCCTGGGAATCCAGAGGGTTTATAGGACTGTCCAGTGCTAAAAACAGACTAGGAAAATTTCACCTACAACTTCAGGGAAGAGTAAAGCTGTATTCTCTGCCCAATTTCTGTAAGACAGACAGACAGACAGACAGACAGATAGATAGAAGATAGATAGTAGATAGATAGATAGACAGACAGATAATTGCCCATAGAAAATGAAACCCCAAAGTATGTAGAGCATGTATCAGGTACAAGAGACAGGAGAAGAATCTGAATTTATTCTCCCAGCATAATAACATGTCCAGAGATGTATTATAGGCGTTAGTGTATACACTCTGGAGCCGAACTTGTGTTCAAATTCTGACTCTGACATGTACTAGCTGTGTGACCTTGCACAATCCATTTAACTCTTACCCCCTCAGGTTTTTCTACCCCCAAAAAGTGGAAAAACAACAGTATTAATATATATATATATATGGTTATTATAGGGGTTAAATTCATCTATGTAAGTACATAGAACAATGAGGGAAAATTGTAAAAGCTCAAAAAATGTTATGTGCTGCTACTTCCCCTTCTCCCTCCTTCTCCTCCTCTTACTATCCTGGAGTGTCACAGAGAATACACAAAAAATTCCATAAAGATACATCCAAATTTCAGAACACAAAGCAACAGAGGTAAAATAAATATTCCTCCCACTAGATAAAGTCATAATCAAGAGTCTACCATGAAAACAAATCAGTAGGACAAACAAATGAGACTATTAGAAAACTCAAGAACTAAGGAAGAAATTATTGTGAGCTAAGCAAGCTCTCTCAAATGTGACTAATACAAAATTCTAAGTAGTAGTATTTTTAAGATCTTCCCTTTTTTTTTTTATAATTATGTGTGTTTCTTTGGGAACTTTGCTGATTGTTGCACTTGGATTTAATCATTCCATAGTCTTAAATTTTCTCATCTGGCCAATGATTTTTTCCCATTAATGACCCATATTAAAGAAGACTAGATTCATCAGAGTGGTGGTTGGCCTCTGCTGGCAATTAATTAGGTCAGTAATTGTTTTCTTTTCTTTTCTTTTTTCTTTTCTTTTCTTTCTTTCCTTCCTTCCTTTTCTTCTTTTTCCCTTTTTTTTTTTTTTCCTGACAAGCTAACCCCTTTTTTTCCTTCCCCTTCATTTCTCTCTGTAAGACAGACACAAGATTCACCAGAAACAAAAGTCCTCTTCACTTCAGTTACTGCCACAGCCTGGAGATGGTGTTGGCTGTGTAGCTACGGTTCTTGGCAAGACTTTTTTCTTTCTGGGTGACCCCCTCCGCTGGTTACAAGTGAAAAAAACACAACAACAAAATGAAACCACATGGTAGAATGATCATGAGGCTGAGCATTTTCTTCCTTGACTAAACTCTCTGTTCTGTTCAGTGATATAACAAGCTTTCCCTTAGCTGGATCATGATTTCATAAGTCCCCTAGCAAGGTCGAAGAACGTAATATGGGCTTTCAAATTTCTCTTCACTTTCCACCTTTCCCAATCTAATCACAGATGTGCTAGCTCCTGGCATCTTTCTTTTGTCTAGCAAATAATTATTTGGGATGCTAACAATATTATAATAAAAGCCTGGGACCTTTCTTGGTTCCATGTTAGCTGTATATTTCTGCCCTCTTTTTTTGTTTATGGAAATGGGCACTTCACTTGGCATTACTGCCAACAGTCTCTAATTCCTTCCTTTCTGGGTAAAATTCTGGACTGCTAGGGATGGAAAGGATTGGTACAACTCCACACAATGACCCAGACATTCTAGGAATATATTTGAAGTGATTATATAGATAATTGCTGTAATGGTTAATACAGAGTGTCAACTTGATTGGATTAAAAGACACGAAGTACTGATCCTGGGTGTGTCTGTAAGGTTGTTGCCAAAGGAGATTAACACTTGAGTCAGTGGTCTGGGAAGGGCAGACCCACTCTTAATCTGGGTAGGCACCATCTAATCAGCTGCCAGCTCGGCCAGAATAAAAAGCAGGCAGAAAAACATAAAAAGGCTAGACTGGCTTAGCCTCACAGCCTACATCTTTCTCCTGTGCTGGATGCTTCCTGCCCTCAAATATGGAACTCCAAGTTTCTTCAGCTTTGGGACTCAGACTGGCTTCCTTGCTCCTCAGCTTGAAGACAGCCTATTGTGGGACCTTGTGATTGTATGAGTTAATACTACTAAATAAACTCATATACATATATACACATATATATATGGAATTATATATATATGGAATAATGTTGCATGTATATGTTTGGCAGGGTTCTCTAGAGGGACAGAACTTCTGCAGCATTGTTTCTAACAGGAAAACTGAGAAACAATCTGTATATCTTTCAATTTATTCTTAACTAAAAAGTTTTGGTACATCCAAACACTGAAATACTAGATACGCACTGCAAAAAAAAAAAAAAAAAAAACTGACTTAAACTGACATAGGTATACAATAAACTAGGAAAGTGTGATGTTCATAGTATGATGTTAAGTATTTATATAATAGTAGATATAATATTATCCTGTGTGTATATGATAGAAAAACGTATTAGCTAAGAAAGAGTATTTTCCAGTTTAGATTGTATAAACACTATAATTTTTATGGCAAAACATATAAGAATTTAAAAATTTTTATTTTTTAAAATTAAATGAATTATCCACTTTGACAATTTTTAAGTGTACAATTCAGTGACATTAATTGCATTCACAAAATTGTGCAACCATCGCCACTGTCTAGTTCTCAAATTGTTTGTCAACCCAAACAGGAATTCTGTAACCATTAAGTGATAACTCCCACTCTCTCCTCCCCCGAGCCACTAGTAATCTTTAATTTCTTTCTGCCTCAGGGAATGTGCCTAATCTATAAATAGATATTCCATATGAGTGTAAGCATACAATATTTTTCCTTCTGTGTCTGATTTATTTCAAGCAAATTTTGTTTTATTATATCTTTGCCACAATAAAAAAAATTAAATGGATTGAGACACTAAGACTTTATGGGCAAAAAAATGTATATTCATTTTATTTGCAACAGGTTTTTTTTTTTTAATTTTTTTTTTTTTTTTTACCCAACACAATCCTGCTAAATTTTCTGATTCATTTGCTTCTGTATTCATCCAATCAATGTTTCTTATTGCTCTGCTGCAAACGCTGCTTGTTGGAAGCATGTGAAAGTCAGCAACCGCATGTCAGCTCTGCTTTCACCAGGCCTATCTTCTTACCGCCACTTCTGACTTTAGGGTGGTTTCTGTGGCAGTGGTCCTCCTGTCGCTTTGGAACAAGACACATTTTCCACTGAAGTTGTTGCTTGCCTTACGTCCTATCTTCCTAGGTGTTTCACAGGACACTTTTAGGCTGACTCTTTCAGTTGGGATTCTGAAACCACAGGTTGTACAAGAAGCGTGGTGCCAA